CTTTGCGCTTGTTATTTGGTAATTTATGTCGTCAACTAGGAAAATTTATTGCTTTCTAATTCAAAAGCAATTTTATAAAGGCAAAACAATACGAGTTAACCAGGAGAATAACTAAGAACAAATGACAAATACCGCGAGTACGCGACGCTATTTTCACACAACTTGTATGAACATGATTCGATGCAAGTCGGCACAGGTTATCATACTACAAATACGGTAGTAATTTATTTCCAAGTGTTTAAGGATCAAATGAATAAAACTAAAATGTATGCGTAAGGAAATTGAAACTTTGAAAAATAAGGGACACCCCAATAACTGAATTTCCGCTGCAGTACTTTTGAAGGCTGGTTTCAGAAAATGATACTTGTCGTATTCGAAAATTTTGCTTACAAAGTAAATAATGAAAATAATGAAAAAAAAATTAATATACTCAGCTTGCTTTTTATGGTTAACTTTTCAGAAAGTAATCCCTTTTCGCTCTCAAAACCCAAAAAGGATAAAATCGCTTCTGAAAACACTTCAAAGGAAACAGGTATAATTTCTTTGACAAACATTAGAGGGTGAACTTTTCAATTCACCTTTTATTACAGTTTAGCAAATTCTCTATGGATGTAGCTTTGTTCATTTTCAAAGAATATTCAGATCTTGATAATTATTTAAATGTCAGTCAACTAGGGGTATACCTGAACTTGAAATCTACAGCAAAATTTATAAAAATATCAAATTTGAAATATTTCGAAAACTTAAAATTTTCTGAATAGACAAAGTGATACTTTTACCTTGATAGTTTGTACTGGAACCTCTGGCGTAAAATGCTTAACAGGAAAAAATAACGTGTAGAGGTTTCCACTAAAATTGAAAGATTTTTGGCAGTTTCGATTAAAATTTTTTAATACAATAAAAACATTTTGAATTGGGTCCTTTTAAACAAGCGATCAAGTTATAACACATTAATAGAGGCTTCCATGTAGGACATGAGGGGACTATAGGACATATTGAAATCTGTCTGGTATCTGGGGAGAATTAAAAAATGTGAAAATACATTGGATGTTCGAATTGAAATGAACAACTTGACACTTCAGGTGTAACCAAAAGTGCCATCAACTTGAAAATACTTTCAAAGGTTGCCAGAAGTGTCTTCTGAATCTCTTAATCATGTAGGTTGTGACTCATTAAGGACTGATTGAAGTTGGTAATCACTTTTTTTGACAAATTCTGTATGGAGGGATATCTCCTTTTGATCCCAAAATACTCATCAATATGTTGATTCCCATGAGAGAGGAAACTATTGTCCAAACAACAAATAAGTATTAAACACAAACTTATAATACAGTGTATACTATTACTTGTATGCGAACAGGAAATTTAGCCATGTTAGGATTCACACGTTAAAAGGTAAGACCTCATTAATCCTTAGCTCGCACAAGTTTCGACTTCTGAGGGTTGTCGTTCGTAGGGGTGCGACAGCTGGTTAACGGAAAAACAGATTTTTTTTTTAAACAGTCTAAAATAACGTAGATACATAATTTATTTTTCATTATTTTACCAATATTAATTATTTCAAACACAACTGAAACTCCTAATTTTCCTGTTTCTGTAGTTAAGCAAAGGAATGAAGATTGTTGGGGCTATAATCGATTCTTGAGGAACTCCAGATGTTACTGAAATTTGTGATGATATGGAACCAGCATATTTGACAAACTGAATTATGCCCTAAACAATTTTGAATCCATTTCAAGATGCTTTAAACGATACCTAATGAGAGAAACTTAGATATGTGAAGATTGCGATTAACCCTGTCAAGCTTTAGAGAAGTAATTGAAAATAGAGTGGACTTGTGTTTTCTCTATGAGTTATTCAATAGAAAAGTTTTCTCTATCTGTTGAGGATTTATCGATGGTCAGTATAAGACAGCCTTTGGTAGGTAAACAACACAGATGTGTGACTTGGTAATCATTTCAAGGAAGCCTTTCCCATGACTGAAAGTACTACTTACACCCACCAGCCCGAAAATGCTCTCATATTCATCACAGGTAATCTGTGGAGTGGGCAGCTCTGGAATCATACATGTGGACCATCTGGAAAATCTTTTGCGGCAGCCATGATAGCATCCTGAAGAGATTCCAGTTGATTGGTTGATATTGGAGTTGTCATATGTTCAAGGTGCAAGATTCTCACTTCAATACCTGCAAAAACCTTCTCATATTGCAAGTCAGCTTTGAAAACTCCAATGAATGAGACTACGGATAACTCGATGCATAGCAGTGCTTTAAAGATGGCCTGGTCAATTCAGAATTCATTCAAAAAACATATTTATGTTGAACACTTAATAAGTGCATTGTAATTTCTGTCACTGAAGTGAAACCACTCTGTATTCAACAGAAAAAAATCCATACCAGTTTAGTGAAATCCTCCAGAAAAAGTACTTTTGAAGTAAAATCACCCACTAGAACAAACCCACTAGATCAGTATGGCATGTTATATTCGAACTCCCAAACAAAGTTAAGTTGCATAATAACATATTAATAAGGAATGAAAACGATGAATCGATAGAAGATCCAACTTCAATTGTAAATGTTCCACTGAATATTATAAAAAAATCCCAGAATTCCACGAAAATGTCCAATCCACTAGAAAAATACCCTTCTTCAAATAAGTTCTTATTTTTACCTTATAATCAAGACTTGATGAAGTTCCAGGGTTTCTATTAAGAAAAATTGTAGGTTCTATAATCTCACCTTCAAAATATCTGATGAATATTTCATACTGTTCAGGAATTTTTCCAAATCTCATTAAAACAGGTAAATTCATTTCCAAAAAAGGCGATCTGAATAATATGACAAGTTTTCAACCGCTCACAGTGCCATCTGTTTTCTCTAAGATTTTTGAATATGCATCTGTTGAAAAATCTGTTTTTCCGTTAACCACCTGCCCCCCCTCCACTCCTACGAACGACTAATCTCAAAAGTCGAAACTTGTGTGAGCTAAGGACTAACGAGGTCTTACCTTTTAACGTGTGATTCCTAACACGAGTTGGATAATAGGAAGGGAAAATCGATCGTCCGGCCTTGCGGTTCGAACCACTGGTTCACACAGCGGTCGATTGAATGTGTCGAGCAAACCACCCACTTCAACGCACCAGGCTAGCGCCCTACCATACTTGTATACACTAAACGTTCATTTGATTGAGATCAATGTTATATCCAAAAACCAATATGGTTTTCAGAATTCAAATTTCAGATTCAATTCATTCTTTATAGTCGAACGTCTTGAATTCAATCAGCTGTGGCGAGTGCCCTATCGGAGCTTTTCGTGACCTCAGTATAAGGCATTCGACTGTGTTGATCATGAAAATCGTCATGTAACACCCCATAATATTGGCATACAAGGAAACGCACTGAACTGGCTGAAAACGTTTGTCTCAATACGGAAGCAATGTTAATATTAATAATATCGATAATAATGCAAAAAAAGTTATATACATCCACTTATGTAGATTTGAATGTTGGTGTTCAACAGGGCAGATTATTTTGCCCTACACTTTTTTAATATATGTGGGTGTGAATAACATGGAATCCATCTCTACATAGATATGCTCATTTTACATTATATGCAGATGATACATCACTGGTTATATCAGATAAAATAGATCAACATCTGCAAACCAAAGGTAACTGGAAAATTCCTTATATAAATATAACAAAAAAACATACCTGGTTTCATGCTAGACCAAAAAAAAAATAGCCAATTTCAACTTGAAAATTCAAGAAGATGAAATTTTTGTGTATGCTCTACGGTGGAGATTTTAGGTGTACATTTGGATTAATTTATCAGCTGGAAAACTCTTTGGAACAATCATAACAAACCAGAACTCCGTGAAATATCTTCTCAGAAACCTTTGTTATATTCTAGTACAGAAACAGCTGATTATGCTGTATCATGCTCAAGCTGAATCTCGTCTTTGGTATTGTATTACTCTCTGGAAAGCATCCTCCTCGTGCAAAGATGTGCTTGTCGGACTGAAAAAGATTATAAGATGTTTAGCAGGAGTCTCATGAAATATAAACTGTAAAAGCCTTTTCAAAACACTAACAATACCATGCCAGCAAACATTTTTCCGTCTCACTTGATACTTATCGTTATATTATGACCAAAATCACACAAAACCTTTGTACATTGTAGCCTATATGTTATTCTGATGTATAAGCTGTATTTATGTAAAGTTTTATCTAAATCCGTTCAGTCGTTTAGGCGTGAAAGAGCCATAAACATACATACATCGATCCTCATAAACTTTCACACTTATAATATTAGTATAGATAACCGTATCATGAAATTGCATTCTATTAATACTAGGTGTAAGACAAACTTTCATGTATCATATTGTAAAACTGTACTGACTTACAATTCCCTCAGATTATTCAGTTTAGCCCCCATTGAACTGAAAAACTCTAGTACTATATGCAGCTACAAAATTACACTTATAATCTTCTAATATAAAAAAAACTATCACTCCCTTTTTATTTTTAGGCTTTTTTTAATTCAAACTTCTCCTCATCGACTCCCGAACTCTTTCAAAAATACCAGGATTGTTTCTGATTGCATTACATTCAGCAATTATCCGATTTCTCAAATCTTCCACATCTTCCACTGTAATCGAAATGTTGTTGATAGGTCCGCGTTTTTTTATTACTTGGTAGCTCCAGTGTAGTAGGCTATACTTTTATTTTGGCTACGTTAATAATTTTAAAATTATCAAAATTGTTATTGTCGAAATTATTTTTCGTCCTGTATCTTCGAAACAAAGCGCCTTATCAAAAATCATCAAAGGACAAAATATCCTTAGAATAGTCCCTTAATTTTTTGCCGTATGTTTAATGAACACCTTGTATATTTAATATTTGTTTTCCAATTTCTTAAACAGAAACATAAGATAGATACTCGAGATATTCTAATGTATTATGAGTGAATTAGTTGTGAGATATCTATTATATTTTCAGCAAAATACGTTACCTCCAGTAAGCCAATCTCTTCCTGCCACTTCCCAGCCGTCGACGCTTCCGCAACAACCTATCTCCACTTCGCCTTCTCAGAACTCAAGTAATTCTAATCCTACTGCACCATCCTCGGAACCAGAAACAGACAAAGAGATTCAAGAAAATGGTACACCGGAGGCAAAGTCCCAAACTGATGGGGAAGTTGAAGCTAATCACATTAGCTTGCCAGCACCACAAGCTTCCACACAACCACAAGTTTCTCAGGTATGAAATAATTAATTTTTGTAAGGTAAATAATGGTAGGATGGGTCAATTTTTATGTACAATGTGAATCTTTCATTTATTCATTTATTTACGGCTCGACCCCATCATTTACAACTCAACCAGAACTTTATATGTATAATACAGAAAAATGAGTACAGTAAGTAATAAAGTTAAAATCATTTAATAAAAACATTAATGCAAAAATATGTTATACTAGAGATTCAATTTTGACAAAGAAATACCAGTGAATTAACAAGATACCCTTTTTTACCAATCTAGAAGAGCTATTATATAAATACTTAGTTTGATGGTATGGAACACCAAAAATTTCAGAGTTTCATTTGGGACTCTAAAGCATATTAGAATAGAGAATAGAAATGTATTTATACTGAACAACAAACAGAATAAAAGTTCCTTACACATAGTATTCATTGAGTACCATTGATACAGTAAAAATCGATATAAAATATAACAATATGAAACAATAAATAATAAAATGACCGTAAAAAATTCAGACACTGTTTCGAGACATTGTTGAAGAGGAGCAAATTGTTTGAGATACGAAATAGATTGTCTCTTCCTCTCAGTCTTACGTCAGGTACAATAAAATCAATAGTATAGGGAATATCAAGTACTTTCAGTTTTCTAAGAATGTTGAAAACAAAAATCACTTCAGAGGACTCACGACGGTCTTTCAATGGTTGCATATTAAATTCTTGTAATTGGCTAGAATACTATATAAATAAATGCCAGACATTGTGTTTTCTGAAAAAGAGTGTTCTTAATAATTGTTTCTGGACTTTTTCTACAGTATCAAAATATAAAACGGTCTTTGGATTCCAAATGGCACAACCATATTCCAGCTTAGAACGTACAATGAAGTTAAAGACTAACAAACAAGTATCGTGATTGAATTCACGTGTAGATCTTAAGATAAAGCTCATTTCTCTATAACATTCAGATACTAAGTATTCAATGTGCCGAGAGAAACTGAACACACCAGTAAAAATGATCCCGAGAGCTTTCATCTCATTGATTCTCTGTAAATTGCGACAACAGATCTGAATAGTTAATGTTCCCTGAAAGCAGCTTGAAAAATGTACAAAGATCAAAGTATTTGAGTTTCAGTTCGAGGGTTCCCATGTTTATCTTGATTCTCATTTCATTATAAGTTCATTGTTCTTTTGGGATATATAGTTTATAGCAGCAGTACCCTAAAAACTTATTCTGTATAGCCTTGATTCTACCAATATGTGTAATAAAAAAAGGTTTTTTTTTATTCAGACTGTTAAGCCATACAATACAGAAAACATGGTTGTAATAAGTGTAAAAATGTTGTCTCAATGATAATAATAATAATCATTATATCGTGTTTCATAATTAAAGTAAAATTATAGAATATTTAAAGTTATATGCATAGTGTACAGCATAAACAAGTCTTGATAAAAGTATGTATGATTGTGTTTGTCGATTTCCGGGATTCTTGAACGTACTACATGGGATGAAAAGTCTCAGGCCTAACACATAGACGGCGTCAGTCTTATTGCAATCACTGCTCTTTCAGTTAGTACTAACCTTCAAAAGAAAGCCCTTGAAATTTCATGATATTTTACTCAGAAGTTTGTGAGTTGTTGTGCTAAGAGTGACACTACTTTTGTTATTTTCAAAACAATCAATCAAAAACGATTTCGTGTTTTAATTTTACACTGCTTCTTGATGGGAAAAAATACCGTTCAAACGAAGCAATGACTTGAAAAGTGTTATAAGCACTCGACTCCATCAGAAACAACAATTAAAACGCTGGTTTGCTGACTTCAAACTTGGTTGTAGAGACCCTGAAGATGCAGAATGCAGTGGACGTTCAAATAATAATAATAATAATAATATCCTTTATTTTATCATTTGAATGCACAAAGGTTACATAAATGATTAAAAACGTCAATATTTCAGTTACATCATTACATTGAGCAAGGACATGTCAACAATACAAATTTACATAGACATGCATATATAAAAAAAAATTGATATCTTCATAAATCTTCTCAGTTTTACTCAGTAGCGTGTCTATGTTTTTTTCAAAAATTAGTAAATTGGTATCGTCTGCATAACACACTATTTTTATATCATGGTTTCTTTCCATCAGAGGGATTATATCATTTACAAATGTATTGAACAATAAAGGTCCCAATACAGATCCTTGAGGCACACCTCGATTTATTTCACGGTAACTACTCAGAACTCCATTCAGTCTAACAACCTGACTTCTGCCATTTAAATATAATTCAAATAATTTTAGCGGTATCCCCCTAACTCCTTATGATTCTGACTTACTACATAAAAGCCTATGATTGACTAAGTCGAAAGCTCTTGAAAAGTCAATGAAAAGACCCAGAGCATATTTTCCCTTATCAAGATTGTCTACAAGACATTTTTGAAAATCACAAAAGTTTCACCTCATCACTACAAGTTATTTGTTTTTCTGTATTTTTGAATAAGACAGGTGATCTTTGTTTGGAGCGCCCAAAAAATACTCTAACTGTTTTGTTATGATTCAGTAACAGACAATTCTTTTCAGACCAACGAATGATATCTTCATAAATCTTCTCAGTTTTACTCAGTAGCGTGTCTATGTTTTTTTCAAAAATTAGTAAATTGGTATCGTCTGCATAACACAAACGATACCAATCGTCAAGATTGTCTACAAGACATTTTTGAAAATCACATAGAGCAGATTCTGTGCTTATATTTTTACAGAATCCATGTTGATTTCTGGATAACAGTGTCTGACTCCACAAGAATGATGAGAGTTGATTAGTGATGCCCATTTCAATGAGTTTAGAGAGACTTGATAATAAATTGATGGCTCTATAATTGGAAAAGTCATCAGAATCACCTCTTTTGTATAATGGCAGAACCACAGCTAACTCAAGCATTCTGGGAAAATTCCTTCAGAATAACAAAGATTGATGAGAAAAGCCAATCGTTCACATAAGCATACGATTTTTTTAGTAGGTTATTTGATATTTCATCAAATCCACTTGAGTTGGAAGATTTCAAATTACCAATCAATATTTTAACATCTACAGGTGTAACTGGCAAATGAGGCAATAACACCAGAAAACATAAAAAAATACACAAAATATTTTTTAATGACCAAAAAGTGAAGTTGCGTGAGTTAGCCGGCATTGTAAAGATATCAAAAGAATGTGTTGGCTTTATATTGCATGAGGATTTGACCGTGTGATAGCTCTGTTCAAAGTGAGTGCCGCACGAGCTCACTGTTGATCAAGAACAAGAATGCCTTGATGATTCTGAGCAGTGTTTGGCCATGTTTAAACATAACAAACCGGAATTTTTGCGTCGATATGTGATAATGGATGAAACATTGATCCTACACTTCACTCCGGAATCACAACAATCATCATCTGAGTGGAGAGCAACCTTGTCCAAAGCGCCTGAAAGCACAACAATTGACTGGAAAGGTAATGGCCTCGGCATTTTGTAATGTGTATGGTCTAATATTCATCGGCTATCTTGATAAGGGAAATACCATCAACTGTGAATGTTATATAGCGTTGGAGCGTTTGAAAACAAAAAATATGTTTTTCCGTTAATCAGCTGTCGCCCCCATACAAACGACAACTCTCAGAAGTTGAGAAACTTGTGTGAGCTAAGGACTAACGAGATCTTACCTATTAACGTGTGATTTCTAACACGGTTGCAGAATCATCTCAGTTTCAACCAAATAAATTCTCTCGAGTCGGGCGCGCTACCACCGCGACCAATTCCACAAGGCCAAAATTTCGAAGAAACGACCGCATATGACAAAGAAAAAATGTTGTTTCGTCAAGACAACACACCGTGTCACAAGTCAATCAAACCAATGGCAAAACTACATGAATTGAACTTTTACATCCACCGTATTCCCCACCGACTACTGGCTATTCGCTGACTTTAAAAAAATGTTCAAAAAACGCGTTCTCTTTCTTAGGCCCGGGACTTTTCAGCCCATGTGTTATTTCGAGTTTTAAGTAAGGCTTTTTTAACATTTCGCCAAGACAAAAAATATACACAAACAATATAAATCCAAGTGAATTCTACTGATACGCATCAATTTAGAATTTATGCTAATTGTGGATAACATTTTGGTGTGTATGTTGGAATGAAGGTACTTTATTCCCGAACGTTTTTTATATTTCTTTATCTGACCTGTATGTTGTTCGACTTGAAGCCATTCTAAGTTCATCAAATATGGATGCAAATCAGATTGTTCTGAAAGTGTTATTACATAACTGATTTTTTTATACTAACACTTGAAACAAAAGAAAAAATTCTCAAATTTATCTGAGTCAACCAGTTGATCCAATAGAATCATTTATTGGCCCGCTTGAAATGTTAGTACTTTCCCATTGGTTAAAGCAATTCATCAGATTTTTTTTTGTTTGAATAAATAATTTTTCTCCTGTGATGGATGATACAGAATTCCCTTTTCTTCAAGTACCCTTTTGCTCAAAGTCTGCTCTCTTTTGTAATGTCCTATATACGAGGGTGGTCTAAAAAGTTTCCGACCTAACAAAGATACAAGAAATTTTTTCAGATTTTTTCAACATAGCCTCCTTTTAACTCTATACACTTCTATCAGCGATGTTTCCATCTCTGTAACCCGTCCGAATAGTACTCGGCGTTTTTCTTTGCAAAATAATTGTTCACGAAGGTGATTGCTTTGTCATTTGACAAAAATATCTGTCCTCCGAGCGCAATTTTTAGATAAGGGAACAAAAAGATGTTGCTTGGGGCTAGATCAGGTGAGCAAGGCGGATGATCAAGAAGTTCAAACCGTAATTTGTGGATTTTCACTATGACAACCACTGAGGTGTAGCCATTTTTACGCAAGTTCTACCTTTACTTTGTCAAGTAATGTTGCGTAGGATGCTCCTGTAATGTTTTTCCTTTTTGAAAATGATCGATTAACATAAGTCGACGACTATCCAAAAAAAAACAGTTGCCATCACTTTCCCAACTGAAAAAACAGTTTTTGCCTTTTTTGGAGCCGGTTTCTCCTCGAAGTCATCCGTTTGGACTTTATTTTTGTTTCGAGCATATAATGATGTATCCAAGTTTCATCTACAGTAATTACTCGGATTTATTAGCCTAAACTGCGCCAGCAAAGCGTTGGAAAGTTCATTCGGACACGTTTTTGGTTCCAACGTGAGCAAACGCGGCACTCAACGCGCGGACAGCTTTCTCATGCCTAAATGTTGATTTCATGTCACAAACACGTTCTTTTTACATGTTCATAACCTCCGCTATCTCTCCCAATTTAATTCGGGGGTCGTCTAGCACCATTTGGCGAACTTTGACAATGTCTTCGTCAATAGTTGCAGTTTTTGGACGTCCAGAACGTTACGCGGCACCAAAGCTCTTACAGCAATGTTTAAATTCAGCTTCCCAAAATTTCACTGTGGTAAATGATGGTGTAGAGTTCCCGTACACAGAATCCAACTCACATTTAAGTTGCATATACGTATTCCCTTTCAAAAACAATACTCGATTTTGTCCATTTTCATACACAAATCAAATCAACTCACTCAGACGACTGTTACATAACAATTGCGTGTCCAAAATGGCCCAAACTCTGGTGAGCAACTGTCAACCGATGAACGACGAAATTCAGTAGCTTTTATTTACGAGTGCTGCTATCTTTATATTGAGACCAAAAACTTTTCAGACCACCCTCGTACAAACACTGAATATGGCAAGATCTAATACTCTATAATCCAGAGATTGCTTACGGATTTCTGTAATCGAGTTTGTATTATTTGGAAATGAAATATTTTGACAATTACTTAACTCATTATCTACTCCTTAGGTACCTACGACGCCACCCCGACAAGACGAAACATCTGTACCTGTAATAGAAAAACCCTCTGACGAGCAAAAACCTGTCCCCGAGATTTCTAAAGAACCTGAAGAGTCAGCCATGATTCCAGCTCCTGTACCTTCAGTCCCAGAACCCGAAACGTCCACGAATGATTCGCCTCAGGAAGATTCAGCACCTGAGAGTCAAAAGGAGGCAGAGGATGCAGATCCGTTGGCAATGGAAGTTGAATCACTCGAAGAAAAAACTCAGGAAGTGCCTCAAGAGAACAAAGAGATAAAAACTGATGCCGAAAATATAACAGGTGACACGGACGATAAAGAAACAGATGAAACGGTTGTGAGTGAATCAGAGAAACAAACTTCAAAAAATGAAACAGTCCCCATTAAATTGGCTACAATTCCCAAGACTCCAGTAAGGAAATCAAAACCATCCAAACCAGAGTCTAAAGTAGAATTAAAGACACCTGTTCAAAAGTCTCCAAGTTCAGGAAAAACAAAACGACAGAGGATACGGACACAACATTATCAAAGTCCGCTGCCAGAAATTGAGATCATAGCAAAAATCAGTTCGTCAACGCCCAAAAACAAAAATATGGATGATAAACTTATATATTTTTATAAAAACGAGTTTCTAGCAGTCCGGAACGCAGAAGGTAGTTTTTACCTTTGCCAAGCTGTACAGAATATCTATAAATCATCCTCAAAAATTAAAATTCGTTGGCTTTCGCAGGATAAGAATGACAAGAGCGGTGAGATTTATACTCCTGACTTTTATGATTTGACAGATTTCGATTGTATCCTAACGAGTTTAGATTTAACTCGGGTGGACAAGGGAAAGTACAGGTTAAAACAGGCAGAAAAAGAAAGAACAGATAGCATACTTAAAAGGTGTTTAGCGGTGGAGAAAGGAGAAATTGCTAGTCCATCTCTGTCAGAGGAACATCCTGATGGACGTAAGTAAATATTTTTTTTACCCAACAAGTGTTTTATTATTACTATGTTTTATTGAGCTGCACTTCTGTAATTTTGAACATAAAGAAATTGTAATGTGTGTCTGGAACACCAAACAGTTATTTTTAACACCTCGACATGTGTTTCAGTCACCAAGTGATCATCTTCAAGAGGAAGATTATGCTAAATCTATCTACAATGTTGTTCTTATTTATACCATAGATACCTCTGCTAGGTACCTGCCTCTAAATTGTCTTAAAATAAATTTTACATAGGCATCTAGATGCCTGTTGTTGTTAACTTGTCTAACTAATCTTAATGAACTAAAGTCTATGGAATGGATTTGTTGCAAAACATGATGGGAGACTGCTGATTTTTCTGGTCTTCCATATTTTAGGTGTGCTAAGTGTTTCTTATATCTTATTTTAATAGATCTGTTTGTCTGTTCATAATATTTTGCATCGCAGTCTTTACATTTAATTTCATAAAATCCAGTCGAGAATGTAAAACACTCCGATCGGAGGTGTTTTACATTTTAACAATAATACGATTAGAACATACCATAATTATGTAAAATACGTTTATTTTCATAGACATAAAAACTAAACTGTTAACATCACATAAGAATATAAGAATCAATTTGGTTTATGCCCAAATAATCATAAAAACTTAAAATAATATGAATATTCTCAAGGCAATGTGATACTTGACTTTGCAGATATTAAGAAAAACTTGAATAGCATAATCATTTGTCTGGTCTGCAATTTGGAACAAAAACGTGTCGTCAATCATAAGCCTGAAAAAATGTATAGGTCTGCCTCTGCCCAAAATCGGTACTAACAGCTCTTGATTTTTTTGAATGTGAACTGTTTCAATGCACCTGTTATTGTCCACTTGAATTTCTCTTGCACAGTCGAAGTTGAATTGGTATTTACAACCGAAACTGGAATATTTCCTAACAACAAAATAAAAAACGCGTAACCAACTATAACACGTGCTCAATAAATGTTTTTAGAAAGACACCAGTGCAGCAGAAATTTTCTCTAGCCAACGCCGAATGAAGACCGATACTCTACAAGTTAGGCATATACAACATTCCGATCGGAGTGGGTGACATCGCCGATTGATGTCCCTATACTCCGGTCGAAGTAGTTGGCATTCAACCTGTTAGGACTTAGGTACCTAGCAGAGGTATTTATGGTATAAATGAGGTCAACATTGTATGTAGATTTACTTTAATCTTCCTCTTGAAGATGATCACTAGGTGATCATCTTCAAGAGCAGAATGAGTTCTCTATTGAAAACATATTTTCTACACCAGAACACAATACTGTTTAGGACTCACCTACGTTTCACTAATCAAGTTGGCATCATCAAAAGATGACTAGGAGTTCTAGCCTAGATCAAGTTCTAGTCATCTCTCTAGTGGTTGTAATAGATTCATTTTACGTCAGAGGTTCCAATTCTGCAGTCTTGAGTTACAATCCTCCTTCTATCAGATGTTTCTCGTGAGAATTTATGTAATTGTTTCATTACATTGCTTAAAGTCATGATGGCTTGGGGAGTTATCAGTATAGTAGATCTAGAACACGACTAATGATCATAGTAATTGATGCCGTTGACTTTGTTCCCGAAAGTGATAAGTTTCATACTTATCCATCTTCATTTCATAAAATTAGTTGTTTTTATTTAATATCAAAAAATTTCATAAATTTATAATCACAATGTTTTAGAATAGAGGCAGTACATATTTCTTAATGTTTTTATCATTAATCCATGGTTCCTCATTTAAACTTCTTAACATTTCTTAATTATTCATGTTTTGTAGTGGATCTATCACTGTACAAAGATGAGGAACAACTGAAGAAGAAAAGAGGCACGAAACGCAAGGCCCCACCAAGATCTAGTTCTGCAAAAAGGGAAACACCTGTGAAAAAAACTCCAGAGGCCCCCAAAGTACGAAAAGTAGAAGCTAAACCTGTTAAAAAACCCCTAAAGAAAGTAGTAGTGAAGAAAGTATCTCCCCCAGAAGTGAAGAAAGTATTCACACAATCAAGCAGGGCGGCCAGGGGCAAGAGAAAAAGTGATCAAAAAACCAGTCCTGTAGTCGATCAAAAAAAGGCATTAGTTTTGGCTAGAATTGGTAAAAAAACTGCAATTTCCGTCAGTTCCAATAGATCTCAAACTGTTTCCAGAGGTAAGTCAACATTTTTTTTTTAATGAAGTGATATATGTTCAAGAGCAAAATTGAAATTCAACTTATAGATCTATTCATGTACAACCACTTATTTATGGGAAAATATATGTAAAGACTTGAATAAGTTTTCAATTTTTCAGCCTAAATTATTTTTTCACATGAAATATATATATAAATGCTTGTATATGCTATGTTGAAATAATGTGACGGTAGTATATCTAGATCAAAAAAATAATTCTGTGAAGGGTTAAATACGTGGAATGAACTCCTTTCATGAAAGAGTTTTTCCTCAATAAATTGTTGGATGTAGCCGTTACTGCGTGGTAGGAAATCATTATGAAGAAAAGGGAATTGAAACTTTCTGTTTTTTCCACTTTTATATGTAACTAACGTAACTGCAGTTTTGTCCTATAAGGACATTCTCAGACTTATACATTAAACTAAAAATGCGGTTTTTGTGAAACCCTTTATAGTGAAAGTCGTACAATATTTGAACAAGTTTTCAATTATTCAGCCTAAATTATTTTTTTCAAATGAAATATGTATAAATGCTTGTATATGCTATGTTGAAATATTGTGACGGTAGTATATCTTGATCAAAAAAATAATTCTGTAAATTCTGAATACATGGAATGAACTCCTTTCATGAAAGAGTTTTTCTCAATAAATTGTTGGATGTAGCCGTTACTGAATGGTAGGAAATCATTATGAAGAAAAGAGAATTGAAACGTTCTGTTTTTTCCACTTTTATATGTAACTAACGTCCTATGAGGACATTTTCAAACTTATACATTAAACTAAAAATGCGGTTTTTGTAAAACCCTTTATAGTGAAAATCATACAATAAACTGTATTAATTAGTTTTTTATGATTGATTTCATTAGCCCTTATATAACACCACTGTAGGTAATAACAGAGGTACTTAGCTTAATTGACTACCTGACAGCTTTTGATGTGTGCCTAAATCAGAGTTACCTACAGTTCAATAACAAATTGTATAAACAGGATTCAAACATTAATTTTTGCTACAGATATGTAGACGATATTCTCGCCTGTTTCAGAGGTACTACACGACAGCTGAACCAATTTATGACATTCATGAATAATCTCAATAGCAACATTCATTTTACACTCAAAACAGAGATAGAGAAACAGATAAATTTCTTAGATCTGTCCATTACAATCAAAATAAATTTGAGTTCAATATTCTCAGAAAACCTAGTTATACAGACATTACCATCCCAAGTGATTCTTTCCATCCAGACAGTAATAAATTAGCTGCCTATAATTCAATGTTGCACAGAGCATTCTCACGACCTTTGTCTGCTAATAATCTAGCTAGGGAAATTGAAATAATTACACAGATAGGCCATAATAATGGTTTCATCGCAGATGCAATCCAGAAGTTAGTCAGAAAACAAAGCTGTAAATTCACTTACAGATTAATATACTCCCAGATTAAACATTCAGAAATCAAGAAATGGGCAACTCTAGCATATCTTGGTAAAAGAACAGAGATAATTGCGGGTTTCTTCAGAAAAAACAATGTGAAAGTGGCATTCAGACTACATGCCAGGTTATCTGATTTCCTTTTCAATGCCAAAGATAAGGTAGACAATTTAGAGAAATCCGGAGTTTATAAGCTTAAGTGTTCGGAGTGTAATAGTGTTTATGTGGGACAATGTGGTCGAAATTTCTAAAAACGGTATGCTGAACATGAAAGGTCCTTCAGACTAGGAAAAAATGATTCGACATTTTTAAACCATTCCTTGGCATGAAATCACAAGTTCCCGAATCTAAACTCAATTATTTGGATTCCAAAACTCAATTGCAAACTCAATCATTTGGAATCCTTGGAAATTCACAAGCATAAACATTGCGGGTGCAACCTGTTAAATGATCAAATTGATCTAGTTTACTCACCGGTTTTCAAATTAGCGTATCCACATTGTCACAAGTAAATAAAATTCAGGTACTTAATTGAGCTAAGTACATCTATTATTACCTACAGTGGTGTTGTATAAGGTCTAATGTAATCAATAATTTTTAGTTTGATGTATACATTTGAAAATGTCCTTATAGGACGAAATTGCAGCAACGTTAGTTATAAATAAAAGTGGTAAAAAACATAGTTTCAATTCTCTTTTCTTCATAGTTTTTCTCGAGTTTTTTCTTTTTTAGTTTGCATTTTAGCAATATGCCACATGAAGAGTTTCAACAAGTATTATCATTTCAGCTTAACAAATAGTTCAAGAAATGAAAACAAATTGAAACACAAAAATTGAACTTTTAGGTATGGATCATACAGTTTAATGGCGATATGTACACTTGTGAAACCACACTCTCGAGACTTATTCCTAATATACTGCTTCAAGTAACTTCTTCCTTTCAAAAGAATTATATTTCTTTGTATTTAATAACGAGTTGCTTTTCTCCCCATCAAATCATTGCTAAAAAAGTATCTGAAATAAGATAGGGTTTAAATAAATCTAAACCTACCAATCTTTGATTAATCTTCGTCATAGGGTATTTATATAGCGGTTTTGGAGGATATGACTAAATTTATGTATTTAAAATATTCACAAATATTTTTCACACGTTTGTTGTTACGGCAAAATGGTAATGAAGTGTTTCGTTCATTTTAGGAGAATCCTCTCAGTGTTTTCTATAGTTTCAGTTTTTAGTTGCATCTGCTAAAATTTCTGAATCAAATCTTCAATTTCAAACTTTTAACCTAAATATTTCTCTTCAGGAGATTCACAAAATCGATTTTTACAAAAATATTTTTCACTTTTAACAAAACAATTCCATTTTCATCACATTATTTGTCAATGTTTTGTGAACTTCCGAATTTATAGAAAAATAACTGGAAACATTTTTATTAAACACGAGTAGAAAAAAGTGGTTCACACAAAACTTTTTGATATGTTTGTTTGTTTTCACTTGAATACAACATTTTTTGTTGAATTTTCCGATTTCTTTCAATATGAATTATTATTGTGGCAGCGAGGAATGCTCTAATCGGCAGAAAAGTTGGATTCAGTTGAACTGAATACAGAACGGGGAATGTTCCTCAATTTGGGTTATTACAGCAAATGCAAGTTTGAACAAAATAAAGCTGAGTTTAATTCATGAGTTTTTCAAATTCACTTTGAAAAGTATTCAAGTTGATGTTTTCGTCCAAACCTGTCTCAGTAACATCAAAGGCTACACCGTCAACGTCAAAAGTTGTCCCATCAACGTCAAAAGTGGCTACCACAACGTCTAAAAGTGCAAAATCATCAACAACCACGGCAAGTTCTATTAAAGCAGCTGCTTCAAGAAAGGCCAAAAGGGCATCAAGAAAGTAATTAAATTATGAATAACTATTTCTATCAGATCAGTTTTGTGTATATTTTTTTATTCTATTTTTTTTGGTTACTTTCAATGTGTGAAATGAGTAAAATAATTTAAATTGCAAAATCCTATAAAGAATTTGTGATTTATATTATCAAGAGAAAAACCTGAATAATGGGCATTTCTGCTTTTCTAGTGTATTTCAGCAAGTAATAAAGGCATTTCTAATGTATGCAGGATTACGTTTTCAGAAAAATATATGATTTTCTTAAAGTGCCTGAAATTTTGCAGAGATTTTCAATTTGATATATTTGCCTTTAGAATATGATGTACTATTCCTCTTTTTCAATTGATTGTCCCCGTAATGTGATAAAAGGGGTCAAATATGTGAAATTTTAGCACTTCAACAAAATTATTCAACATTTTGAATTCATTTTCTTGAATCTAAAATAATATAACTTTGGCATTTTGTTCCTAGCCTTGATTTTTTTTTTCTAAGCAATGACTGTTAATAATTCCAATAGGTGTAGAAAACTATTTTGGAATACTATGTGTTAAATTTCAATTATAAAAAGGTAAGCTTTTCACAGAAGTCAATTGAATTTGTAAAAAAAATTTATCAGAAGATGTGATTTCCGAATTCTTAAATGTAATATCGTTAGTAACCAGAGAAAAATGAAGTTGGGAAGTTGGTCTGAATTTTTTAATAAAATTGATTCCATTTGGTCAAGTGAATAAATTCTGAGCAAACATCTTTAGAATTTTAAAATATTGGAGCACGTTTTATATTTTTGAAAAAAACTATGTTCAAGCTTCTTTGTTGATTTCAATTCATGTGGACAGTTGAAATCTTTCTAAAGCAGGAAACATCCGGCAATGCAACTAGTGTTGCTTCACTCAGTTTAGGCTTCACTGGTTGTTCGAATGCTGCCCTATTGCATTAGTATTATTGATTTTTCTCCTGATCACTCAATTTCTATGTATATTAAAAAGTTTATGAGTAGTGAAAGATGTAAAGTCTACATATACATAATAATAATAGATTTAATCTATGAGAAAAATCGTTTAGATTATTACAATAAGGTAACACAAATAAGAGTATATATATAATGACCAAAATATATTTCTTAAACATAAAAGATGGCACTTGCGAGTTTAACTTTTTTTTTTCATAGACAGTAGTTCTTGTATGTGTTGTGCTTAAAAAAAATAGAAAGTAAAATCATTTGGAATGAATGTTGTGTAGTCTTGTGGAATTTTGATCTGAACCGTTAGATTATGAACATATTATTTATGACATTATGAATGGTTTTTGAATAAAATATAAACTACATTTGAAGGCTCTCAATTTTTTATTACAGGATGTTTGTATACTCATTATTGTTTAGATCCACAAGAGATTAACAAGTTTTGTCATGTGTAGGTTGTATATCCAAAGCATTTGACTATACATGACACCAAGAACTTTCCTGAAAACTTCCTACTTGTTTACATAACAAGGTTGCGTTAGTTATTGTTGAACATTCTTGTGGAAAGCCTATTAACCATCAATAAGGGTACTCGCCAGGATTCAATTCTGAAACCGACAATGTTTTTTCTCTATAGAAACAATCTTATTAATGCAACATTCTATTGAAAACATTTATTTTTAAAAGATTGTTATGTTTTTTCGAATATATTTATGTCTGAGTGATATGTATTCGCAAGCCTTAGTATTCTGTTCACTGGAGCATAAAAGCACAATTAGTACGTTTTAGTTCGTTTGACAGAAATACTTTACTCAAACTCTCCTAGAAGTTGAAGATGAGTATTTTTCAAGTGATTGAACGATAAATGTCAACAGTTATTCATTTTTTTAATGCTATATTTTGTTCAGTATGTGGCGAGGAACCCTAGAATACTAATCCATATTGTAGAACTTACTGAACAAGTGAATAATATAGTAATTTAAGTACATTAAAAATAGTCTCTGAGCTGCCTTATCATCTAACATGTGCTGGAGTTTCAATTGATTTTCTATTGTTATGTAGGTAAATATTTTGGTCAGGTGTAACATTCACTGATAAAAATCTTGTAAAATATGTTTTCATCACATTCAATTGCAGACCGTTCTGAGAACAATATTCATAAAGCTCATTAAAGGCTCCAATACTATTCACAATTTATTGTTCAATGCCTGTGTTTACCATCAGAATTCAGAATATTTGTATCATCAGCATACAGTAAGATTTGTTCAGGAAAATTGCAGTATTTTTATGTCTGATGTGAATATTATGAAGAACATGGGTCTCAATATTGAGCCTTGGGGTTAGGTTAGGTTAGGTCCAAAGTGAGTGGGTCTCTTCGACCCTTCACCGCAATCCGCAAGGGTTTGTTATTGCTCACACCTATTCATACTCGACCAAATAAACCCAGTTTCTTAACGAAGCCGATTAGTTTGTATGGTGAGTCTTTCAGATCAGATGGTAAGAGTACGGCTCTGCCGAACTCTAAAAAACCTGATTTGGTTCCCAGCGGGGCAGGCACAAAATATATGCTCTGATGTTTCATCGTTAATGAGGTAGTCAGATAGTCAAGGCGCAAGATTACCACCTTGATACCCGCGACAACCTTCTCATATAAGGGTTTTTGCACGTCAGCTACACCTGACGATGCCTTAGATTCAACCGTGCAGGGCTTTTTCGCCTCTGGTTTTGGTGAATTATCACTTGAGTGCAAACGTTTGCTAACCTGCTCATGGGGTGTTTGTTCCTCCACCTGAGACAGATTCTGCGTACGCCGATCAAGAATTTGGTGCAAGGCGGTTTCATAAGGTACGCCGCACTTGAAAAGACGACTCAGTCGTTTCCTGGTTGAACCACCAAACCTGTCTTTTTAGGTTCAGTTATTGGAGCAGGAGTTGGAGAGTTGAGAAGCTCTCGCTCCTGATCTAAATTTACAGGGAGGTCAGTTGGAGTCGTAAGCTCGACATTCATCTCCTCTGTAGACTCAGCGTCAGAAAAGATTTTTGAGTTTACTCTGTCCATAAAAGTCCCACGAGTAGTTAGGGAAAGAAGGTCAATCACGGCAGAGCCCCGCATTACCGTGACAAGGCGATGCTACGACGAGAGGGCGCCCTGTCTCTCAAAGATTCTGTAGATACAGCTGATAGGCTCGGATACACACACCTTAGGATTAAGCCATCGTTGGGATGCCATTCAGTTAGGGAATAACAGAACTACAAGTGATTCTGTCATTCCCGTATCCATCGGGGCTACGAGAAAGCAGGCGCCCGATGGCTGGTTTGCTCAAATCCCACATCCCAAGCCAATGCACTCGCCAAAAACAGCATGCACAGTGGTTCAGGCAGTGAAAGATGAACAAGGACAGCCAATCCGCCGAGCCTTGGGGTACTTCTAGGTTAGATTCTTTTGTTTGCGATTTTGAGTTGTCATACACTGTTATTTGTGTATGCTCAGATAGATAAGACTTCGCCCAGTCAAGTGGTACTCCACGCACACTAACAGTCTCTAATTTAAGCAGCAATAGATCTCGGTCAATCACGTCAAACGAACGACTCAGGTCGTAAAAAAGTGCTTTGTACAAAAATTTCATAATATGAACAGCAGTTGTGATGGATTTTTTCTCTAAAACTCCGTTGTATGTCGGGAATAAGCTTGAAACACTTCGAGTAATTTGTTAATCGCTGGCAGTATGCTGGTTCTAAAATTTTAGAAATCTGATTTTGAATGCAAATCGATCATTTTCGAATCCTTTGTTCTTAAAAATTGATAATACTTTGGGTTTTTTAACGTCACGGAATATTTCAAGTGAGAATGACATATTTTTCAGGTAACATTGGGGTTCAGCAATGAGTGCTGCAAATGACCTGACCTTTCATCAAGATCATCCAACCCATGTGTAGATTTGACAGTAGTTTTCCTTATTATCGATAAAATTTCTTTGGTTGTTATTGGTGCCAAAAAGAAACTTGTAGGCACTTTTTTAATACAGATATATTTTGGTACCTGACGATTTATTGTGCAATCAATGAAATAGTCGTTTATATAGTTTGCCTTGTTCAGTGGAAGTTCTCCCTTCCAAAAATCCAGCAGATGCTTTCCTTACTGATCCAATATATTTTCTTTAATAAAATTCATTCATTATTTACCTTTTTTATGATTTTTCACATGCACTATATATTCTTTTTTAAATTGTTAATAATTTTTTGTATACCAAGGATTGTTCAGAGCTTCGCTTAATTTACTCATTTCAAAAAGCTGGGCGTGCATTTGTTTGATTTCAGCAGTGTATCATTTTTTTTGTAGTTATGTTTAATGTGTATTGTTATAATTGGAAATGCACATTTGTACTAATAAATAAAAGTATGATGTAATATGAAAAACTGTTTTTGAAATCTGTTGTATAATACATTTAATTCCAATTTTCATTTGATCCATGATGGTGTGTCCATACATTTCAGCAATACTCTCAATACACTTTTTCAAATGTTTTTGTCTGTTACATTTCAAGTAGTTGATTTTGGTATATTTATCTTCAAAATACAAATTGTTATTCATTAAAAAACTTTGTATTTCATCTTTCCTCGAATTTTTATTCGGTACTTTGATGAGCTGTCGCGAATGATATGAAGCGTTGTCAAGAACTGTTACACTATTCGCATCCAAATTTGAGATCAGTGTGTTTTCAAACCATTCCTCAAAAATATTAGCTTCCATGTTCTTATTATAGTCATAACTGCAGTCTTCAAATTTTTTTCCACATAATTTCAAATAATTCGGAACTTTACTTCCTCCGCAATGCACAATGATTAGTTGCGATCTTTTGTTTACAGGCATGTTAGGCGTACACATTCTCGAACCATCAGTCCACCCTTTCGTAACTGCGTCGTGAGTGTCATACCAAGTTTCGTCCAAATAAAAAATTTGCCGTTGTTCTTGTCTATATTTAGTTATTTGTTCTAAGTATTTCTTACGCAATTCCACTATTCTTCTGCTTTGCGTAACTACTTGACGTTTGTTTTTTATTTCAAATCAAAATCCTAGTTTCTTTATCCAATGCTGAAGAGTTTTGTCACAGCAGTTGTTTCTGTTTCCCTCGAAACCAAACTTGAGATGTATATTCTTATATAGATTGAAACATACTCTCTGTGTTTCAATTTTCAAATGCATCTCATTCACTGAATCTCATTCACTGGTATCTCTTTTTCGCATTGTTCACCATCGCTTTTGGAATCACTACACGGTTGCTGTATTTCTTGATATTGAAGGAGCATTTGACAATGCACTACCTAAATCTATAGGATTGTCTCTGGCTAGAAAGGGTATAGATTCGACCATAACTGGCTGGATCTATGCCATGCTAGTAAACAGAACTGCAACTACGACTCTTCAAGGCGAGGCTATCAGGTTCAGAGTCACCAGGGGATGCCCTCAAGGTGGGGTACTATCCCTCCTTCTATGGTCGCTCCTGGTGAACAGTCTGCTTGATGCCCTCGACAGAAGAAAAGTTGATCTGCAAGCTTATGCAGATGACCTTGTCATCCTTGCCAGGCCCACTTCGGGAAGGGTAGCTTGTAATATCCTCCAAAGCGCGTTGGACGTTGTTCACAGTTGGTGCCTGAGGGAGCAGATGTCTGTCAATCCCAGCAAAACTGTGTTAATCCCCTTCACCGAGAGAAGGAAATTGGACGATCTAACGCCACTTTCCCTCAATGTGGTGGTCATTCCATTTGGAACGGAGGTGAAATATCTTGGCATTGTCCTTGATAAAAGACTCACCTGGAACGCTCACTTGGAAAAAGTTTTACACAAAGCTAGACTGTCTCTATGGGAATGTCGGAAGGATTTGTGGTAAAACTTGGGGTTTAGGTCCCAAACAAATCCATTGGATTTATGTGATGATTGTCAGACCAATGATGACTTGTGGTGCAATTGCTTGGTGGCCGAAGGCTTTCCAGAAAAGGGCCCAAGTGAAGCTCTCTGGCTTACAGAGACAGACTTGTCTGGCTATCAGTGGTGCCATCAGTACCACACCGTCAGCGGCCATGGAGATCTTTCTAGATCTACCTCCTCTCCACAGACTTGTGCACATTGCCAATTGCACGAATCAATTCAATGCAGAGTGCAACAGACTGTTGGTTGACATTGGAAGTCACAGCATTCTGGAAATGACCTCTGACTTTATGCCTCCAACTCTCAACTACGAACTGCCTTATAAAGTACTATTCCCGAGTAGAGAGGACTGGATCCTGCAGGAGAAGGAAATATTAAGAGCAGATAGTTGTTGGTTCACAGATGGATCAAAAACACTTTCCGGTTCTGGTGCAGGTGTTTTCAGTCGCAGACCCAGGACAGAGTTATCTACCTGCCTAGGAACTTATGCGACTGTATTTCAAGTGGAAATTTACGCCATTGAATTGTGTGCGGAGAGATTGGATAAATCCAACCTCACTCACAAGTCAATAAAAATATTCTTGGACAGTCAAGCGGCGTTGGAAGCTCTTGGCTCCTACCGAGCAACGTCTAAATTGGTAGCAAACTGACAAAACAGACTCTCCTCGATAGGAAGACTAAACATATTGTCTCTGGTCTGGATTCCTGGCCATACTGGCCTGGAAGGCAATGAAGCTGCTGATGACTCTCTTGCAAAGGAGGGTGCTGCAAGCGGCTTCATTGGATCAGAACCTGTCATTGGCATCGCTTTGGGCTTTGCCAAACAAACACTAAACACCTGGATGGCAAGAAGAGTTATGGACTTCTGGCAGAATTTTCCAGGATTGGCTCACTCCAAGGCGTTTATTCACCCTTCAAAGCTTGATTCCAAACAGTTGTTGGACTACAGTAGGGATAAACTACGATGTCTAATAGGCCTTCTTACAGGTTACTGTCATTTGAATCATCACATGCAGACTTGGACTGTCGGAAGACTCTGTGTCGCCTCTGTCTGGAAAATGATAAAACTGCAGAGCATATACTTTGTGCCTGCCCCGCTGGGGACCGAATCAGGTTCTTTGAGTTCGGCAGATCCATACTCTCACCATCTGACCTGAAATACCTCTCACCATACAAACTAATCGGCTTCGTTAAGAAGCTGGGTTTATTTGGCCGAGTGTGAATATGTGTGAGCCACAATAAACCCTTATGGGTTGCGGTGGAGGGTCGAATAGACCCACTCACTTTAGACCTTCCTACCTACTTCCTCTGTTGAAAACGTAGGTCTGATGTTTTCTAAAAATCCTCATTTTGGTGTTGATATTGGTTATATTTTCTAAGATCAAACCTCTTGTGAGTTACCATCTTCGGCCATGTGGAGGATTTATAAATTTCAACTTTTTTGAGTGAAATCAATTCCAAACATAAAGAATTTTGTTCTGGGATTTATCCGTTGGTAATTCCTTAATAATTATCTTAGTATTTCTGAAAGTATCCTGATTCAGAACAAATTTTCTGATTTTTTCAATCGTCTGCAAGACTTTTATACTGAAGCTGAAGGCGGCAGCCGAGAATTATCTATCTCATTTACCGATAAGTAAGAATCAAAAAGGTCTTGTCTGCCAAATTACTAAAAATTTCCATAGTCATAAAGCCCACTGGCTATGAGTTGGTCCTTCGAGCCGGATTTGGAATTTGTATCCTTATCTGCAATAAACTCATATATAAATCGGCGTAATTCTTCATTTCTTTAAGATGGTATTCCGGCTTGCATTTTTTGTCCCTTCATCAGTTAATTTCCAGACGAAAAAGTACACGCATCTCTAGGGCACACTGTTTACAATAAAACGTTTGACAAAAATCAAATTGCCTAAATTTGAAGGGGATTTGAAGGATTGAAGGATGAAGGATTTGAAGGGTCAAAGACATATTTGATTCTCTCATTCACTATAATGCCTCGCTCTCAAATGTGTAAAAATTCAACTATTTAGTCAGCTCTTTGAGAAATGCTCCCTCCACTTACTCTAGTGATATGAACTGCAATCACTACTCATAACTACATTGTTGCTTATAATACTCTTGCCGATAGATACGACAATAATAGGTTGATTGCAACACCTCAACTTATTCTTTTAGATATTTTCAGTGAAAATGTCTCAATATTAGAAAATATTGGTTTTCTAGAACCAAAATGGGATTTTTGTTTGTTATGCTTTTAAATAAATAAGGTTTAGATAAGGCGACTTGATTTGAACTTGACTCTGGATCAGATCTCAAAGAAGGTTTCACGGCATTGAAAGCTTTTTTGAAAAAGCAATGTCTTGCTTTATACTTGATTATTTACTCAATTTCAAACCAATATTTAATCATATATCATAATCATGATCATATAATTCATAATTGCCACTTTTTCATCTCAAAATATAGTGAGAGGTTCGCTTTGGTTAAAGAAAAAAAGTGGTGCACAAGCTGCCTTGGTTTCAAACACACTTCATTCCATTGCACTTCTAGCGCTCTTTCCTTTGCGCTAGACAAGGAAGTTCTCCAAACGTATCCGCCCCCAACTCTGATAAATACTCATCTGATAGAACTTAGGCTCAAAATAATAATTTCTGTAATAATAATAAAACTTAGACAAATTTATTCATTAACTTTAATATCACTGTTCTCTTGTTCACTGCTCTTCAATGCAAAGTAAGCCATTCTAGCTCTAGTGTACCCTAGTTCATTTGATATCACTCTAATAGCATAACATCCTCTAGATACTTTTTTACTCAAATGGGATACATGTTCTTTAAAATTTAATTTATTGTCTATGTGAATGCCTAGGAATTTAGTGTGCTGTTTGTTTTCTATGTAATGGTAATCTAAATCGTCTAGTATACATTTGAAAGTAACTAGTTTTTTTTGTTTAGGTTGAAGCACAGGGAGTTCGCGTTACACCAGGCTTGAATTTGTTGAATATCAATTTTTATCATATTTGATAGCTAATTAATTTCTTTATTACTCCATATTATAGTGGTATCGTCGGTAAATACAGTAAATTGTCCTGCGATGTTAATGGTTATTAGGTCATTTAAGTATATAAAAAACAACATTGGTCCTAAAACAGACTCCTGAGGTACTCCATGTTTTATGTCACTGAGATCAGACTGTCCACTTGATGTTTTCACCACCTGTCTACGTCCTGTCAAATATGAACCAAATCAGATCAAATTTGTTCCTCTTATCTTGTAATGGCTGAGCTTCCGCAGCAGTGTCTTATGATCAGTGTAAATTTTCAAATGATTCGAGTTGTGTTGGACATTGAAAGTCAATCTCACTTCAAAACTTGCCAATGTGCTAAAAAGCTAGGACTAACACAACCTCCACTTCATCTAAATTCTTAGGAACGCTCATAGATTGTAACCTAACATGGGAGGATCAAATACAAATAGTATGTAAAAAAATCAACAAAAGCTTTTATATTTTGGCAACACTAAGAAATATTTTGAACACAGATTCATTATTACAGGTTTACTATGCATTTGTGTATTCCACAATTTCCTGCAATATTATAGTATGGGGTCAGGCATCAGACATAACAAGAATTTTTGTTGCTCAGAAAAGAATCATAAGGCTTATCTTTAACATTAGTAGTCGCCAATCATGCAGACAGGTTTTCAAAACTAAACGGATCCTCACGGTTACATCAATTTATTTAATGAAACTATTAACATATATTTTCAATAACAAATATTCATTTCCCATTAATAGTGATTCACATTCTTACAACACCAGAAATAAAAATGATATCAAATTGAACAAGCCCAAACACTCCTATTACAAAAAATCTCCCGTCAATGCAGGCTGCCGTTTTTTTAACTGTCTTCCGAACGAAATAAAATACGCGGGATCCCCGGCGGTTTTTTAAGTATAGACTTAGGGAACTCCTTATCAGAGAATGTTTCTATACTGTTGAGGAATTTGAATTATACTTTTCAATTTTGAGATAATATCGAAGTGTATTTTACATAGTCTATGTTAGTCATCATTGTGCTTGTTTCGTCCTGTTTGTCAATTAAAACTTAATGACACTGTTTTTGACTTATCCTATCTATTGTTAACAATAGTTGAAAGGATTAATAAATATTTTATTTTTATTTTTTTTATTTATTTTTAATCAACTTCTACTATTTCAATTATTGGAATTGGTAGAACTAATTCTCACGCATTTAAATATGTAAAATCATGCATCAAACCTCGTAATGAAAGTGAGCCAATACCTGGATTTCATAGTTTTACCATAACTTTATTCTCATATGCCTGACGTCAATATCCCTCAAAATATTTTTCACAATTTTCTGTGCTCGATATAGCTGACCTTTAGTTCAATATAAGTAGCCCAATAGATATGTTGTTGGGTGCAGATGTATTTGGAGTAATTCTCAAAGGAATAATTATCGCCAGTTCCATTGATGGACCAGTGGCGTTAGACACTATATTGAATATTGTATATTTTTTTCAGGTAGTCAATTCCATCCTAAAATTGATCTCATTGAAGCTTAGGTGATTTTTAGAGCATACCGTGGTTATAATTTTGGAGTAATTTACAGTCCTGTTTAAAGAAAATGAAAATATGTCATTTAAATCGAGGTCGAACCACTTATATTTTGTAGTTATAATCATTCATTTAGTTTTCATTTTATTAAGTTTCAATTTATTTGCCATTAGACATTCATTAACATCCTTCAATGCGGCATTTATTTTATCAATATCTAACTTTATCTGAACTTGTGCTTCATCTGCAAATAAATTCACAAAATCAACATTTACAAACAAATATATGTCATTCAAGTATAAGATAAAAAGCAGAGGTTCTAAAACGCTACGACCCTCCGGCACACCAATATGTATATCCCATTCCTTTGAGATATCTTGAACTCAGATTTTTTGTTTTATGTGGGATAAATAGTCAGTTAACCATTGATAAACATCATAATATCAATGCTATAACCTCTTAATTTAATCAGAGGAATATTACGATCAATTGTTTCAAAATCACTCTCCAGATCAAGGAATACTGCCACTACAAATTTATCATCAACTTCTTTTTTGAATTTAGATAAAGTGAGACGCAAATTCAACGCAGATTCACATGAATCTGCGTTGAAGAAAGAGTTCATGACTAGCTGGAATTATATTTGTTTGGTCGTGATTCTTTCACAGAGAACGTGTTGGACGTGCAGGAAGAGTTGGCCTTTGTCAAACGATCCCTTCAGTGTGTCCAATACGGCATTGACAGTGCCCGATTACACGGAACTGAGTCCGTGGGCGTCGAAATTCGACTGAGCAGGGGTGGTCACAGAAGGTTTGTTCTGGTTCTAACATCCGAAACTGTTTGGAAACTGTGCAACACATGGTGCGTACAAGCAAACAATCTCAAACAATCCGAAATAGTCTCAGACATTTGTTTAAACCAGAACGCTTTTGAGGAGACCACTGTGCCACCTATCGTATATATGAAGAGATCAAGACAAGAACATACTATTAATCATGCCCATTTTGTTATGTAGCGTATCCCTATAGTCAGTTCAAATGTTATCAACCCTCAATCATCAATTATTCAAATCAAATAAATAAAAAAACATCCTAGCAAATAGCCCAAACAAATTTCCACACGAATGCGCATGAGTAACGGGAATAGTTCTCAACAGTTCAGCCTCGAGAGCAAGAAAAATTCGGGACGGTTCAAAACAGTTCAGGATCATGTCGCAGTCGAAACCAGAACAGAGGATTCATCAGTCCGAAATTATCCTCAATGAACCAGAACGCTCTATATCAACTGCACATGATCCTGCCGTCCTTGAACCTGAATTTCGTAGAACCAGAACAAACCTAGACTAATCTCGGTTTACAACCCTCCGAACAATCAAATACTCTCATAATCACTGGATGATAGGAAGCAACATTCCGACAATTGCTGGTGACTTCCACGCTAAGTACAGACTATGGACCAGAGCCAGAGCCACAAATCGAAACGGCCAAGCGCTATATGCGCGCATGTCGACAGTCATGAATATCTTGTGCTGCGTCCAGATGAGCCTACGTACTATCGCGGGCAGACGTACTAGACATCGCGCTTCTCAGAAACGTCTCTCTGAATAGTGAAATTTACGTTCTGTCGAAGTTGGATTCTTATCATAATCCAGTTATCCTGGTACTGGGCGATGATCTTCCTTCCCCTGATTATCGTATGAGATCTTGACAACCCAGCTCTGAGAGATGCGCGCCCCTCCTAAGGCACTTCGCTCTGCTGACGAACTCGACGCGGTAGTTGAGCGTTTCGAGCTTTCTATGAATGATGCGTTTTGAGTGGCCACCTCCAGGGAAGAGTGTCCGCTGAAGAGCTACAATGAGATTCCCCCTCGTATCAAAGCCTTGATACGGGAGAGAAATTGCGGCAAGTCGGATGGCCAATCAAGTCAAACCGGCCATCATTGATCACCGAAACGAAAGGTGAGAGGAGTTTTTGGAATCCTTTGAGCCTGGGGATGACGAGCTTTGGCGAGTCACCCGCAGACTCAAAGGGAAGAAGACTGCTCCCTCACCCATTCCCGGAGAGCGCGGAGTGTGCTACTCCCCCGCCGACAAAGCGTTGGCCTTTGCCGACACGATGGAACGTTAGTGACGACATCGACCGTGATATTCTGCTGGAAGATCAGATTTACCGTATCCTCAGGGAGGATGCCGATGATAACATCCGCCCAGCTTTTGTGGAAGAGCTGAAGGGTTATATCAGAGCAGCAAAGGCCAAAAAAGCTCCGAGGGTTGATTCAATAACCAATAGGCTGTTGAAGAGGCTCCCGGATAACTGATTCGAAAACCTTCTTAATATAATAAACAGTTCGTTGGCCCTCAGATACTTCTCCAGAAGGTGGAAGCATGCGATCGTTGTCATGATCCCGAATCAGGGTCAGAACCCGCTGTTCCCGCAGAATTTCGCCCGATCAGTCTGCTCTCGTCGGCGGCTTAGCTGGTTGAAACGGTCGTTCTGCAAAGACTCGACGAAGAGGTATAGGTTGAGGACTGAAATGTTCTGCCCGACGAACAATTCGGTTCCTGGAGAGTACACTCCACTGAGCTACAGGCACTGAGACTGGTGGAAAACACCATCGCAGAGCTGAATTAAAATCAAAAAGGTCATGTTGGTTTATTAGACATCTCGAATGCCTTCGACCGTGTATGGCCTTCTGCATAAACTAGTCGCATTCGACCTGCCTTGGGGCCTGATCCGGTGGATTGGGTCTTTCCTGAAAGACAGAACATTTCAGGTTAGAGTAGAGGGCTCTCTGTCTGACAAGAGAGAGATCCTCGATGAAGTGCCACAGGAGGCCGTGCTCTCTCCCACGCTGTACTCTCTCTACACCAGTGACCTGAGCGTGTGAATATATCTCTATTCGCCGACGACACGGCCCTCCTCTCGTCTTCCATGGGTTGTGAGTTCGGGTTCGTCTACATGCAACGTGCACTGGACGATCTCGAACGCTGGTACTTCTCCGGCCAGACAAGTGAGGATCTCTGGAAGGGAGATTGACTCGCAAGCGCGGATAAAGTATCTCGATCTTCTAATAGACCGCAGGCTCACCTGGAACCCGTACATCATAACCGTGAAGGAAAAGATCGAGGGTCGGATCAAAAGTCTGTACCCTCTGATCAATAGACGATCCAAACTGAGCTTAAAAAAACAAAATTACGATCTATAAAACGATGTTCAAGCCTGTCATCAGTCAAGTGAGATGTAAGAAATAATGAGCTATTTTTCCTTATGAGCTATTTTTCCAAAAGTACAATTGCGTATTAGATAACGTCATAATACATGGGAATATATACAATTACATTTTTTGCATCGGGGTGGGGTGTCTGAAAGTTGCTTCTTTGTGTGATTTACACATCTTTGTGAAGAGTTCAATCTGTAATCAATTGTTTTGTTCCTTTCTTTTGAATATTCCCACTTTTTTTGTATGAAGATGGAGTAGTAGAAAGCAAAAATCTTTCTGTACCAACCATTAGATAACTTGCTAGTAGTTTATTTGATACTATAAATTATTTATTAATTGAATCGCCCTAATTATTTACAAAATCAGACTGTAAATCATTGAATTCGACCGAAAAATTTGTTTAAACTTGTCTCTTAAAACTTCCAGATGAGCAGTGAATTCTAAATATTGGAATAAAATTCGCTAAAAGCAAATCGAAGATAAATTAATAACCATGTGACAACAATTTAAATAACGATTGAAAAATTGTGTAGATGGTCTATTGATTGATTGATAAACTTCATTTGACAAATATTCAACTGAATTAACATATTACTTTGAAAATTTTCCTTGTAATTTCATTAAATACCTCCAATATATCAGAAATGGTTAAATCTGAAAACAACTTTGTAGATAACGATTGATAACTTTATTGAAATAGATTTCAAATCCAAACAATTAACATGAAATATGATAACATTATTTCCACAAATGAAGATATACAAGATCACTTGAAGAAAATTTCCAGAAGATAATAATTGTTAACATCATTTTTGCAAGAAATATTTTCTATTGAGTTCCACCATATTAATTTACTAATATTGTTTCGTAGAAATATAATCTATTTCCCATGAAACTTCGAAATGACCTTGTATGTACATGTAGATACGGAGAGTATCTTTTGTGAGTCAACCCATTTATTGAATATTCTGTATTATTGACATGAGAAAAAATATTGATTTCAAATAAAACGACTAGGATATTTTTGGTCTCTGATTGGATTGGTACATTATGTTATTTCAAATAAACAGGAGATCAAGTATACGTTTTGAAAAATTGACACACATAGATCCAGACAGTTGAAGCTTTACATACAAGTAATATTTAGATTGCCCAAAGTATTCAGGATGATTCAATATATCTTCTGACAAGATATTTTACAAAAAGGCTATGTGATTATAAATTTTTTCGCTTTATTTGTCAAAGATGACAAACAATAGTAAATAAGGTTAATTTAAAGTCATTTAGTCATGGTCAAAATCAAGATTATCACTAGATTCCTATTTGAAAGTTACTCAAACGAATGATCTTCAAAAATATCGTTCCAGAGAAAATATTCAACCATCCAGAATTTTTTGGAAAGTTAAGCTGTTACAATTTACTCAAAAAAAAATTGTTACAACTGTTATTTGTGTAGTAAGAGCGCAAAATAACATTTTGTTCGCTTCAGAAGGATTATTTCAATCTGAGAGGTAGTGATACTTTTGCTCGAATCACAGATTTAACGTTTTTCTACAATCAACAACAAAATATAGACTTATCAATAATGATTACGGTGAACACATTCGACTGGAATGTTGGATTGTAAGCAATAACTACAAACCGCGATTTTTTTTTTCTAGAACATATAAAGTAAAAGTCAACTTCGAGATAAAAGCAGGAAAGCCTCTTTTGTTATGTGATTGTAGAAAAATATTTTGTTTCATTACTGACACTATCAGTATCGTTGTAAATTTTCTGAAGTAATATATTTTTGACATAGGTATATATCAATAATTCATTATGAATATAAACTTATACAAACATTATGTGTCTAGTTACAGTCAACAGTATTTCAAAAACCAGTCACGATGATTCATGCTTATACAGCGTAGAGATACCCCCTGTAGTAATGAGTTTCTGATGTTAATGATCGTCGATAAAAATCAGTACAAAATGTCAAGTGTATGAAAAATCAGGAAAACAATTCAACGCTATCAAAAAATATATATAAAAATTTGTAAATGCCCTTGTGAAAATAAAAAAATGTACATCTACAGCTAGCAAAATAAGTAAAAGCAAACGTGCTACTACTAAAACGTTGTCAAATTTGTCAAGAATTATTGAATTACAAGCCATCTTCTTCTTGTTTCCCAACGAGTTCTGCAAAAATTAAAATTTAATTAGATTCAAATTAAAATTTAATTAGATTCAAATTTACGTATTTATATAGCAAAATATTTCCGATATTGACTAGTTTATGATATTCTGCTTGCATGTCCAAACTAACATGATGGTAATTTAAAATTGAAGATTATACATGGTGAATCTCCAGGAACTGCATCGATCGAATGTAGGAAAACTATAATAATAAAAAATCTGTAAATTTGACAATATACTGAAGTCGATGGCCTAAAATATTTTCGAAATGGCGGCACTTCCCTTTACACCAGACGTAGGTGTCAACTTCGTTATTTTAAATAGAACACCCTATATATTATTACATTTTTTGATTCTACATCAGAATGTAAATACTTTTTGTGTATAATGTCCTATATCTAAGTCTAACCGTTTTTTAAATATTCAAGTTTTCATGTCAAAAATTATATTTGCAGACCCTACAATAATTATCAAATTTTTCCTATAAGGAATCCTTTATCATTATGTTTTGGTTGGGTTCCTTGTAGAGGGGAACCAAATTAAATAGACTTCATATTAAATTTCGATAATTATTAATACAGGGTGGTAAATATAAATGAAATTTAATAAACCGTCTGAAGTGACTTTTTTCAAATCGAAACCCCCCATGTTCATGATTTAATCGTATTTAGCATTAAAATAAGGGTAAATTTAGGTAAGGACATCTATTTCGAAAATAAGTAGTTTTTGAAATACTTCAATTTGATACTTTTCTATGGACAGAATACTTACTATACGGATTACAAATTCTGTCAGATGGCCATGACGGCGCGGCGTTAGAAAACAATCAATTGATAGTATATAATGTCACTACTTCACTACTTGTCATTTGCAAATTTTCAACAATAAATCATGCCAGGACGATTAAACTTCACAAACGAAAATTATTCAAATACTCGATTTCCGAAAAAAAGAAACCATTCAACACTTATTCTGCTTCTATATTTATTTTTTATGTACAAGAGTTCAGAAAATCCACTCTCACACAAGTAACTCGTAACAAATGGCATCAAAAATGAAGCTTGCCGAAAGAGGAAAGGGTACTCGATTTTACATCCGATTCAGAAATTAATTAAAGATTTCTCTTCAACTCTTTCAAGTCCGAGAAAATCGATGCAAAAAAAGGCGAAGCAGTATAAGATTTATCAAGTTACTTGAAAACATTTTTTTTTCTGTAAATTATTTTATTATGTTCGGAGAATCCGAAAAATAATTTTACAAAAAATACATTTCAATTATTAACAAAAAAATGGTGGGTTATTTTAAACACCACCGTACCATAAAGTAAATTATTACTTATGATAGTTTTGGAAACAAGTTTTGGTTTTTGATAAATATAATGGAATTTTACACACAGAACACTCCCAATTTGTTCTTTGAATCGCTACACACACCACATCTGCGCCTTGATGTGCGGCTCGGTTGGTGGGCACTTTGTGACAAACGGAGTGACTTGGGCTGACACGGTTTTCTCTGTTTTATGGGTATAAAACGATTCCAATCAGCACTTTGTTAGAATAGTGATGGATATTTGACTCAATTCAACAAATAAACTGTCGAAAATACTGGACACGTTACCACTTGATTTTTCACGTTTGTACGGCTGCAAAATTGGGACTAAGTGCGCAGCTGCGCCATGACACATATAACTATAGCCAATACAAGCATTAAATCGCGAACGGCCCTATCTATGGGAATGATTTGAGTTGGTGGTACAAGATTTGTCCCAACATACACTTAGTTCATAAAATTTGGTGGGTGAAATGTGCGCCCAGCGGACTTGAAAGAGTTAAAATAATCTTCGTCAAACATTGGGTTCCTTTCTTTAAAAAAATTAGATTTTCTTTTGAAAAATTCAGTGGGCTTACCAATCAAATCAGGGTGCTTAGTATTTTGGTGTCTCATCAGTAAAGAAGGCTTCATGGATTGGTTCGAAAGTGTTTCAAGACATACAACACATTGAGGAATAGGGATGTCACTGGTTTCAGTCACTGACTTCATTATAAAACCGTACTGTAAGTATCTTTCATCGTATTTACGATTGGCCGGTAATTTAGGTTTTTTAGCACAATCCTTTGAAGTAGAAGAGGACGTCAGAAATCGTGTCATAGTTCAGTTTTCTTATACGAAATCAGAATTAATAATTACAACACCTACAACGAACATGTAATACCAAGTGAAAGTAAAAGACAATTCTTTTGAAGACCCATAGGTAGAAAATGAAACCCCCTTTGTTTACCAATTGTATTATCTGGGGATTCCTAGGTAAAATTCCCAAAGTGTTTTATTGTGTTATTACTTAGGAATTAGTAATTCCAATGTAATAGAAAAACCAAAGATGTTCGTTCACTGGGTTACGGGTATTTCGTTTTTCTAGCGACCCGTGAACTGAGTTATGTTTGCTATTAAAAGCATGTTGCTCACACCTGAAACGTACCACTGGTACGCGTACCACAGGTTGGGAACCTCTGGTCTAGTGCATCTGAAATGTGTAAGACTCTGGTATAGTAAAAATCAACCCGTAAGTCCACTCCCACTACTTTCATTCATAAATTCACAAAGTTCTCGGTGACCTTTTAAACGAAGTGAGGAGCCAATTTTGTTCTTTTACCTCTTGTATCTACTTGTATGAAAATATAGACAAACAGTCCTCGATTATCAGAGTTTAACTTGCGGTAAAAAATAATTAGAGTAATTAGGTCATCGGTCGTAGATTTTATCAATGATTGACTTATTAGTTCTTATTAGATTGTATCTCCTCGTTTTCGAATGAACAAACATGACAATAATTTCTTTTCTTCCCGTTTATGAAAGGTCACATTATTCAGATTAGGGTCAATGGCACTATGATAGTCAATGGAGGTTCATTCTGCTTTTAATTATCCTCTTTGAGGATGTTAAGCGTTCAATTGAAAATCTAGCGTTATGGGCTTGGATTTTTAGGATCTTGTTCTATACTTGTTAAATAAGGAAACATCGGTTTTCCTACAGCAAACGATGTTTTTTTGGGTTATGGCACATTTATTTGTGAATTGTCTTGCTTATTTTCTTTCTTTAGAACCAAATTATCCATATGTAACAATTTTTCTTGTAACGCCTTGCTACGAATACCAAATACGATTTCCGTACCAATGAAACTGACCCACCAAATTAATTTTTTACCAACTTTCTAAGATCTGTCAGAAAATGGTCGACAGTTTCACTCTCTTCTTGTTTTCTGTTATAGAAAACAAATCTTTCATATAACACATTTTTCTTGTGGGTAAAATATGTCACCAAGTTCTTAAGCACAGTTTTATAGGCCTTCTTCTGATTAGCAGTTAACTTCAATGCATTAAAGATCTTTATCCCGTCTTCATCTATGATATTTAATATGGTAGCAATCTCAATTTTGTCTTCTTTCTTATCCTTGCCACTGGCAACAAGGTGTATTTTCAAATGTTGTTTGAACCTTTTGAAATTTTCAAATCACTTGAGAAAGCTACTGTGCTAGCGAAACATGTTGTGATATATTTTTCAAATAAAGATTGTGGAGATCAAATCGTGAGGTGTAGTTTTTGACATTTTCTAAGAGGTTACCCATAAATGTCATAGAAGGAGGAAGTCTTGTATTACACATTTTTAATTGAGTTTTTTGCTGATACACGAAGCTTATTCAAATTCCACAGGAGTGCGCCATGTTTTATACTTGTTTAATGAAGAAAAATAGGTTTTAAATTAATTAATTACCAGTTCTGACATGTCTGATTATACACAAGTTCTAAAACTATTCATATGACAGATCCAAATCTGATATCGTCGTAGATCCAGAATTATATCAACCCAATACTCCATAATTTCATTTGATATTGTCAAATAAGAAGAAATTATATTTCAATTTAATTTGAAGTTTCCTCATTTTTCAGTCGAAAATTCAAATAATGAATTTGGAAATTATTTAAAAATGATTTTGATTAAAAATTCTCAGTTCGTCATTCTATTTCATTCATTCATCGTTTACATCAAGAAAGCACGCCAACTTCGATCAAATGTCAAAGGTTTTGCTTACTGTTTTTTTCGATTACCGTGGTGTAGTGCATCAGGAGTTCTTGCCACATGATCTTACGGTCAATAAGGATGACTATCTTGAAGTTATACTTCGATTGCGAGAAGCAATACGAAGAAAACGTCCGGTATAATGCGAGGAAAACACCGTAATCATGCTTCATCNGCTGTAAAAACATTTTCTTTGAACAAAAGTTTGAAAAAGCTGTGAAAGCAGTACAAAATATATGGTATCCATGTCTCTGATTTTGCCAAATGGTGAAATAGAAACGAATCCCTTTAAATATTGAATGCATTATTTCATTCCTCTTTTTTAAGTATTTGGATATTTTTTTAAAGAAAAATGAAAATTCACATTATTTTTTGAACAGACCTCGTATTACATTAATAGTAACAATAGTATGTCCTACAATTTCCGAGTTCTATGTTTGTCACTGAATTAGGTTTCAAGTTTTATTTCTAGTCACTGCATAATTGCAGTGAATCGTCGTTGAGAATTGTTGACTTAGCAATTGTCAGTATAATTATTCATGACGAAAAAATTATTTTTCTTATAAAATGGAATAAAAATTTTCCAATCAAGGCTTTTTGTTACGTTTTCGTTGAAATGAGTTCACTCTCCACCTACTTCACCGTAACCGTGGGCTTCTTGCCACAACTCGATGTCCTATAATATAAGTAACACTTTTTTTGTTTCCCTGTTTATAGTAATAAATGAAGAAACAAATGGGAAGTATATTATACCTATTGAAATCACTGATAATATAAAAATCCTTTTTCATCAGTTCGGACTTCCATTGTCAAGTATGAAATATAAATTGATTTGATAACCCTGAAAAAATAAAAAAAGATTAACCGAAAATAACAATTTTATTAAACAAAAAACTGAAATTACAAAGAAATAACATACAACAACAACCAAACAAATAAAAATTGAAATATTAGTAAAAGCTGAAAAAATTTAAAAATTAAAAATATTAACAAAAAATGAAGATAAAAATTAAAAGATTTCAAACCAAGTTATGTCACAACGCTTCGATTGTTAGTATCCACAATCGTCTGAGGGTGATAACTGAACTTCTTCCTCCGAGATCTGACTATTTATATTTTGATTTTTTCAGGGTTATCTGTCTCTAAATCTGTTTAAAATCTGTTTTTCCGTTAATCAGCTGCCGCCCCCATACGAACGACAACTCTCAGAAGTTGAAAAACTTCAATTTATATTATATTAGACAATGGAAGTCCGAACTGATGAAATACACCACGAAACATTGTCAACCACCTTCAAACAAACGTCAAAATCCTTTTTGTTATTATCATGGTTAATCAAACAACCACAAAAACTAGTTATTCAAGTGTTCCTCTGGATTCAAACTAAAATGTTATAATTTTAATTTAATAGGAGTTAATTATAGATTGAAATAAACTGAAAACTATACTCTCTCCATCTAAGCAACAGAGTGCTCCAAAACAGCATCATGCACAGTGCACGTGATCTCCCAGACAAGGCTGCTTGTCAGAGTCGCACTAAAGAATGACCGTTTTTTTAAATATACGGTTGGCTATATGTGGAGTGTAGGGACACAAATTAGCAGTTTTTTCAGTCGTATCAGTACCTGACATTTCAAACATTGAAATAACGTAAATGTTCACACACAGGCGTTAAAACGTAACTGACCGCTCCGACACTAACAATGAATTCCGCCAGCCGATTGCAGTTAAATCTGATTGGCCAGCTTAAGAAAGTTTGTTTATTTCATCCAATATATGCAAATCTGTTTTTCAAAAAATCTGTTTTCCGTTAACCAGCTGTCGCACCCCTACGGACGACAACTCTCAAAAGTCGAAACTTGTGCGAGCTAAGGATTAACGAGGTCTTACCTACCTTTTAACGAGTGATTCATAACACGGGTTGGACGATAGCAAGTGAAAATCGATCGTTCAGCCTGGGGCTTGAACAATCGACCAACACGGCAGTCAATTCGAGTGAGTGAATAAAGCACCCACGTCGAACCGATCGGCTACCGACAGTTAGTTTATTTTTTGGATGGATATAGTTTAGTCAAGAGAACTACTAGGGTATTATCTCAATTATTAGTAAAAATTTCAATATTATATCTATTTCACGTTGTAGGTCCATTATGAAGAATTGACACCCGGAGAAAGAAAATAGCGCTTTTACCATACGTGTAATGTGGCACAAATAAAAGTGAAATCTGTGTGATATATAAATAAGTGATAAAAAGCATTTGCATTTTAAGTTCATTAGAAAACAGTTGAAAAATTATCATAATGAGAGACTGAACTTACTTCAACAAAAATTGGTCACCAAAAGCCTTAATTAGAAAATAGTATAAGAATTTATAAAAAAATATTTATGGGAAGTTTTGATTCATATTTTTCACAATGTATAATAACACCTGGGCTGAACAGTTCCAAACCTAAGAAAGAAAATGCGTTTTTTTTCTTTATATGAATTGCTCTATTAAAATTAGCGGGAACTTTCACGAAACAATTTCCCGCGAATTTCTACTGGAAATCATTGATATGTGTTTGAAAGTGAAAATCTACCCTGTTAAATATAAATAGAGACCAGTTTCAAAGTTAACAATTAGAAAAAATAATTACCTGGAGACGCCAACTTGGTTGGTGAAATGGGTGTCAAAGAGTGTTGCAGTTCTGGCGTTTGGGAACAGTGTTTGTTAGGAATTTTTTCTTCACTGGAATTTCCAGTTATACCTTTCATTTCAGTAATGAATGTGGATGTCGGAAAGTAATAACCCCATATTACCACTTCATAAATCCGCATTTGAGTAGTTGGAAATATCGAATTATTTAAAAATAAAAATACAAAACGTTGCCAGTTTGCGTATAATTCAATTAATATGAAAATCTGTAAAAATACAAATTCTTTGGTACTTTATGAATAGTTCATTATCCTAAAAACAACTCTCATCTGATTCCATAATTATATCTAAATGATAGCGAGCAATTAATTTTATCACGATATACAATAAAATAAGTTCAATTGATGAGATTTGAGAAAAAATTATAAGACGGCAAATTGACATAAACAACATTTTTTTTTTTCTATAAACAGATCATTTGTGGGTGTTGTTTGGTATTCTCCATTCCAAATTACAGAACCGTATTCGAGTTTGGATCTCACTAGCGTGAAATAGAGTAGGTACTCTTATGGAATCTATGTTTCATTGATAATACCATGTCACTCAATATCCATCTTTCTTGTTTGATATATAAATAAATACAGTGTGACACACTTAAGATGAAGACATCCCTGTAGCAGAGATTGAGAGATTTCATTTTTGGTACAAGCGTAGACCTTCATGGGCCGCACTTAGCCCAAGTGATAGCCTTAAACCCAGCCTATTGCGATCCCACGAAAAGAACAAATTCTCGATATTTTGCCTCGCTTGAGAGATACATAAATAAGTTATTTAAAAATTTTGCTTGAAAATTGATTTTGATCTTGCATTCCTAATTTCAACCCACAACTCGAAATTTGCTACTTTTGGTACTTTTCATATTCGAGCCTGATTTTCAATTAATGGTTCCGAATAAGAAGCTACAGAAGTGATAAAATAGTCAAAATCAATAAAATGAATGTATTCATTGATAATGAATATTACGTTTTTCATTCTTATTCCTATATTATAAAGAATTTTCGTAGCTTCTTATTTAGAACCATCGAACTTGAATATGAAATTCGATATGCGAAGTCAAAATCGATTTCCGAGCAATTTTATCAAATAACTTATTTTGTTATCTACAGCGCGAAGCAAAATATCGAGAATTAGCCCTTTTCGCGGGATCCCAGTAGGCTAGGTTTAAGGCTGTCACTCGGGCTAGGTATTGCGGAAAGTGCGCCCATGAAGGCCTATGCCTGTACCAAAAATCAAATATCTGCTTTCAAAAAATGCGAGGTCTGTTCAAAAAATAAAGTGGATGTTCAAATGTCGCTGATTATGTAAAATCATTCCTCGAACAGATGTTCACAATTTAGCATGTTCAGTTTGTTGGTGACTGGTATAAAAGTTAGAAGTGTTTTGCGTATTCACTATCGAAAAGATCAAAGAATTAGTATTACATTTTGTGTAAAAAATATAATTAAGTGCCCTGGACGCCACAGCACATCAACAACCGATGAACATGTTGAGAAAGTGAAAAAAAATTGTTGTGGAGAATCGTGGAATCGCTATTAAAGAAGTCGGATGTCGGTGGCATATCGGTTGGCTCATGTCATTTAATTTTTTCGTAAATTTTGGGCATAGAGCGTGTGGCAGCGAAGTTCGTTCCAAAATTGCTGAGTTTTGACCAAAAAAACCGTCCATAAACATCGCACAGGAATTGCTGAATGACGTCAATGGCGATCCAGATGTGCTCAAAAGGGTCATAACTGGTTACGAATCATGGGTATATGGTTATGACATCGAAACCAAAGTCCAATCGATCCAATGGAAAAGCCCAGGAAAGCCAAGATTAAAAAAGGCACGCCAAGCTCGATCAAATGTCGAAGTTTTGCTCACTGTTTTCTTCGATTACCGTAGCGTAATGTATCAAGAGTTCTTGCCACATGGTGGTACGGTCAATGAGGAGTATTATCTTATGCGCCGCTTGCGATACCCAATACGAAGAAAAGGTCCGGTATTGTGGAAAAACAATTGATGGTTCTTCTCACTCGTCATTGTTTGTTCGTGAATTTTTGGCCAAAAACAACACCGTAATCATGCCTCAGCCACCGTATTCACCAGATTTGGTCCCCTGCGACTTTTTCCTACATTTTGTATAGGTCGAGAAGATAAACACCAGTCGCTGAGAGAGCTCAAGGTCATACTGAAAAGTGCATATCAGAACTGCTTCGAGGATTGAAAAAAACGCTGGCACAAGTGGAGAAAATATAAATTGATTAATAAATAAATATTTTTTGGCAAAAATAAAAATTCACAAAGTAGTACTGTTCAATGGTTTCTCCTTCTCGTCGTTTGAAATTGAAATGATTTTTGAACTTCATCATTTCCTCGTGGGATCATAGATGCAACACTTTTGAGCGCTGATATCTAGTTAGTATTCAATGAAATTACAATTCTTATATCCAAAAACTTTGATTAGTAAAGTGGTATTGCCACGTTTAAATTGAGTTTAGCACTCTGGAGTTGATCACATCCTAAATCATATAATGTTCGGATATAAAGATAGTTATGCTTTGTCCAGCTTTCAGTGTTCTTTGGGATGACTCTGTATTTAGTGTATATTGGGGTTCTCGTCTCTATTTTTCCAAGGATGATATCTGAAAATTTCTTCCCTACCTTACTGCAGTTCTTTTGGCTGAGAAGCGATGGCCTGTTTGGGTTTAGTTGAAATGAATTAGTTATTAGATTTTAAGTGTTATTGTGCGAAGATTAGTATTTGTTTGTCGTTAGGTTTTATTTTGCATTTTTCAACAGTACATTCTGTTTACATTATGCTTTTTTGATCTTTTGAGAAGAATCGAATATGCTCAATACACTTTCACGATAATTACAACACTTTACAGGGGGTTCCTCTTTTTTATTCACAGCCTTCACTAGTGAAGCATGTTCTCACCTCCTAGTGAATTATCTGCTTTCAACTCTTCCCCCACAACTGTTAAGTCCAAGTCTTTTAACGAGTATCTTAGATCTGTTACGTATCAGTCATACTTAAGTAGTGTTCAACATATCACAGCACTGAATAACTGTAAATCCGCTTATCACGAAAATTATCGTTTGTGTCTCTAAAAATAACGTCTTCACTACAGTTTGTACATTTATCGAGCAGCCTACCTGTCTCGTTATTCGCCCCTCTAAGGGGCGCCTCTCCTTCTTCCCTTCTTTTTGTAGGTCCTTTTGTAAATTTGAGTGCAAACATTCCTAACGACCCAAGAATTGGAGGGATGCCTGCTAAAATCAAGGGCAGCGTGTAGCTAGAGGTATTGTCCAATATTACCCCCGCTATGTACGGGCCAATTGTGAGGGGTATGGCGCAAATACCTAGAAGAAAGCCTATTGCCTGAGTTGCTCCTTCCCGACCGCAAATGTCGAAAGCTATGGGACCTAAAATGAAACGATTCAGAATTACTTTTTTGTGAAAGGAATATTTTGGCTTTCTACTTCTCCGTATACATGCAAAAATTTTGGATACTTCTAAAGAAGGGAAAAAAGCAATTCATTTCAAAATAAACTATTTACAAACAAGTGTATATGGAGCATCGAAGTTACTTTCAGATACGAACTAAACGAAAAATTCCTTTGGAAAAACTAATTTCAAAACATCGAATAACACGAAAGAAAGAGTAACTTCGAAACAACTACTTTTCAATGAACATTGATTTATACAACTTTTCCTATTCAGTTTTTACTCAAAACATTCGTTATGGAATTGAATTAGATATCATTCATAGGAATGCTACACATTATAATATGAAAGAGATTCAATCACACGAATCACTGTCATCCTCAATGGCGGACATCGATGTTTTGAAATAAGAGACTCGGCTTATTGCCTGATTTTATCTTCTCTGTATAATTCAATGTTCATATATAAGTCTGTTAAAAATATACACCCAAAATTTATACTTTGTCTAGTGCAGGGGTTCCCAACCTTTTTGCACCTGCGTACCACTTTACTTTTTGAGAAATATTGGCGTACCACCAGACCTAAATATTTTAATAAACGTATAATATTCACTCTTCTGAAAGAGTTCAAAGGCTTTTTTAATTAAATTCCTGAGTACCACATCTGCGCCTTGATGTGCGGCTCGGTTGGTGGGCACTTTGTGACAAACGGAGTGACTTGGGCTGACACGGTTTTCTCTGTTTTATGGGTACAGACAACCCCTGAACAACAGTATTCATCTTTGTAGTCAATACATCTGCTACGAGGTGTTGAATAACATCACGACGAAAATCTTTCATAGACATTTTAGGATTTTCTGGAAATAGATTATATAACACATATCCATTGACGACACAAGTATCAATGAGAAAAAAAAAGATTCTGTGTCACCATTTGAGGCTCTTTCGGTTGATACAGTAAGTAGCTTTTATTTGGTCAAATTTATCTACGAAATTAATATTTTTGTTGTACTCCGTTACCATAACAGGACACGTCACTTCTGATCTTGTACCATCTCTATTTTTTCTCGTCACTTGGGTTGTTTCACGGGGGTCAAGATAATTTTACAGCTGATAAACCATTATTGCTTTGCCGCCAGTCACATTCACCACGTTGCAAAGCCTTGTCAGCTGCAAACTTTGGTAAATTTATTCTTTTGGTGTTGACAGTTCCGCAGGCATAGATCTTTTCTTTCAGGAGGTATTTCATCAACTTCACCGAACAAAAAAATGTCGAAATATAATCGGTGGTTTTTACCTTCCAATTTGGTAGCTAATTTTTGGACCACTGAAAAACCTAAATTTTTTTCAACGTCAGCTTCAGTTCGACCAGTGTAAATGTTGAATTCCCAGCAATATCCAGTTTGGTCGGCCAACACCCATACTTCATAATCCCTTTTTATTGGTTTTTTGGGTAAATATTGTTTGAGTGTTGACCGTCCTTTGAATTTAATCATCGACTCATCAATCGCTACATTTTGGTGAAGATTCAAGCATTTCTGGAAACGTGTCTTGAGCATTTCTATGACGGGTGTAACCTTATACAGTTTATCGTATTGTTCGGTACCTTGTGAAGTCATTACACTATTATTATTCAGATGAATGTTACTGAGAAGCCACCCAAACCTGTGCATAGTCATTAGTTTTGAAATGAATGGATCATGCAAATCGGAAGATGTGCTCCAGTGGTCTCGATAACTGGGATATTGTTTTATACCCATTAGCATGTTTATTCCTATGAATGCTTTCATTTCTCGTATGTCAGTCGCTACATACGTTTTTCCAGTTTTCAGATATTCTTGTTGCGCATACAAATTAATTTGGAGTACCAAATGGTTGAAAATGTCATCAGTCAATAACAGATTGAATAGATCAAATGGTTCATGTATGCCAAGGTCTTTGATAAACTGAGGTATACCACAATTGTCACTTACGAACTCTCCAGGTGGATGAATATTATATTCATGTTTTTCCCATTCCGTTTTTTTTGGAANATTTTACTGTGTTGTGGTATATACTGATGGATAGAGAATTTTGTACTCTATACATTCTGTTCATTTTTCTCAAAATTTCAATTTCTTGCCTTTTTTTAGCTCATTACTATATGATGTCATTAAACGATTTTCAGCGAATTTTTCTCCAATAAATTCAAATAGAACCAAAGCGCTGCCGATACAGACCAAAAAATTAAGCAGGTTGGTTTGCGACTTTTCGTTCCGGAGATTTCAACCTCGAAGATGAGCCCAGAAGAAGTCGACCTACACTAATCCGGGACGATGTGTTGGATGGCGGAAGAAGCTAGCATCAGCTCCCATTTGGTTTTTGATGGTTTTGAACGTCAAAAAGCTCGAAAAGTGGTTGCCCCACGGTTTGAACGATCCACAGAAATTGTCATGTTTCTAGGTCTGTTTTTTTAGTTTTTGCACAACCAAAAAGATCCTTTTTTGGATCGGATCATCACGCGTGATTGAAAGTGGATTCTTTACGACAACAGGAGACGTTCAGGCAAAAACGACCTTTATTAACTTCATCGAATCCCGAGCACACAATTTTTATGCTGACGGAATTAATTGATTTGTGTTACATTGGCAAAAATGCACTGATTCAAATGACCCTTATTTTGATTGAATTAAATAAGTATTCATTGAGATATCACAGTAGATATAAAGTAGACGGGTACTAATAATTCCCAATATTTCTTAGCCACCAGCCCAAGATACGTTAGCAATGCAAACTAGCTAGTCAGAAAGTAGAACAGTTTCATTATAGAAATGAACTGTTCTCGACCTCTCGATTGAGACAGAATTTGATATTTCAACGTCAGATAACTCCTATCGATAAACGAATTATTTTCATAATATAGCAATACACACTGTATTTGTTCTTTGTTGATATAAACTATTTGTTAGCGAATGTTTACAATCAAAGTAAACACAAATATGGTTACGATATGACAAATGTTAGATATGGCTGTGGGTTTTTGATAAAGCTTAATCAAATTTGATAACTTTATTCAATTCAAAATTACAACTCGACAGTTTACTCCGATTTTATTTTAGGAGATTCTAGTACTTATTTAATTTGTTCAGTTGTTGCTTTCTGTGCTCTCGAACTATTTCGTATTGTGAACTTGTTTTGGAACTGATAGCAGAAAGACCATATTGGATAAGGTTTCATTTGGAACATATGTATTTTTTCCATGATGCTACTTTGTTTTTTGTTATTAGTGGCATTTTTCCTATGAAGATGTTTTATATCGTTCATTTTCGAGTTGTAATCGTTGTTTGAAAAAAATCATTTTCATTAATTTTGTCGTCCTTATCAACAAGAATTCTGTTTGGACCACACGTACTTTTTGACTACTCTGTGTCATTAAAGTCAGCTGTCATAGGTAGCTGATGTCCATTTATGAGTTTTTTTTGCTGTTTTCATTATATTCGTTTTCCATTTAGTTTGTTGATATTCAAATTATCTAAGAACAATTCGTTCAGGCCAGTCTCAACTCCCTACAATATACACTACCTTGCACTGACGAGTGGCCAAACAGCCCGAAACCGGCTTGCAAGTGTGTTCCAATAATTGAATATTTATTACGGCAGTTGTATCGCCAACAGCATATGCAGAAATAACTTCTGTGAAGAATCCTGCACTGACACCTTTCGGATATAATCCAACGCCCTTCGTGGTATTAGCCAGGGGAGTAGTTGTTTTCTGAGAGGTGTCAGTTCATTAACCTACTGTGTAGGGAGTTGAGACTGGCCTGAACGAATTGTTCTTAGATAATCTGATTTATAGCCAGTCTTCAAGTATGCCCACTGACTATATGCGAAAATCTTGATATTCAGTTGAAATTCCGTAGTGCGACACTATGATGTCATCTATGTAAATATTTTCAATAAAACTTATAGGGGAAACAAAAGATAATGTTTGCCTAATTTTTAAACAAAAATTGATTTTGATAAATTTTTGGTAAATGCATTTTTTACGCTAGCTTTAGGGGAGGTACTATGGTGGGATCACCGTGTAACATCTTATTTATTTGCAATAAGTCTTCGTACCACCTTTTCTACTATTTTCTTGAATCGGGTATCATAAATGATTATTGTCATTATTCTCAGTCTCATTCGCGATACTTTGCAAATCAAACTTTCAGGAAAATATTATAATAACTCAGCCTGAGAAACCTGCTGTACCGATAAAACATATTACTTTTACATAAGTATCAACAGTGTGGTTTAATGAGAACAATCGCTTAAATATTTCTTGTTTTTTTTTTCTTTTAGACAGGGTTGGCATTGGAGTAAATGCATTTGCCATAATTTTTTGTAATATTAGATTTCCAGTGAATTCAGTGCGTGAATATCCTCATAGTACGTTTGTTTGAAGGTGGTTGACAATGTTTCGTGGTACATTTCATTAGTTCGGACTTCCATTGTCTGATATGATATAAATTGTTTTCTGATCCCTGAAAGAATCTGTGAAAAATTAGCCGAAAAATAACAATTATATCAAGCAAAAAACTTAAATAACAGTGAAATAAAATACAAGCAACAACGAAAAAAATAAAACTATTGAACTATTAACTCGAGATGAAAATGAAAAAATTATTAACAAGAAATGAAAATTAAAAGATTCCAAACCAAGTTACTTCACGACGTTTCGATTGTTAGTATCCACGATCGTCTTCGGGTGACAACTGGACTTATTCGTCCGAGATCAGACTATTTATAGGTCATTCGATTGTTTTCACCTATCCCTTTTCCCTCTTTCCGCTTCATCGGTTTTAGCGGGAGCTGACCGTTTGGCGGGAGTTGGTCGTATTCCGCTTGATTAGAGGTTTCCATATGTTGCGTATCTCTATGCTAGCTTGGCTAAATGCGTTGTTGGACAACATATATGTGGCTTCTTTGAATTTTTTTCTGAACCAGTGTTCCTCCTTGTGGATGATTTCAGCTTGAGCCCACTTGATGTTATGTTGATGAGTCCAAACATGCTCTGCTATTCCTGATTTGCGGGTTTCTCCTTCTTGTGCTTGGCAATGCCTTTTAATGGCCTCTTAGTTTCACCGATGCATGATTTTCCGCACTCGCAGGGTATCCGGTAAATGCAATTCTTGGAATCGCAGTCTGCGTTTGGTGGCCTGGTTTTCGTGACGCTGCTACGGATAGTGTTCCCCGATCTGAAGAATGTTCTGATGTTATACTTGGACCCAATCCTCCGTATCTTTTCCGACGATCCTCTGATGTAAGAATGTACAAGTACTGGTTGTGGGGGCTTCTCTTCCTTGTGGAGCTCTTGCTATCTTCTAGTTAAGCCTGTCCCATGATCACTTTGGAATAACCATTCCGTTGAAGGTCATTTTTGATGATGCCTGATGATGAGACCTTCCTTTGTATTAAAGAGACCGAAAGCACGGTCTAGTAGAGTCTTGATGATTTTTCTCTTTCTTTCGATTGGTGGTGGTTGGGTTTCTGGTTCAGATACTGTCCCGTGTGGTGGGTTTTCGATATACAGATGTTTTCCATGTAATGTCGATCCTCTCCACCAGCTAATCGTTTCAATTTTTAACAGATTCTTTCAGGGATTTCAAATCAATTTATATCATATTAGATAATGGAAGTCCGAACTGACGAAATGCGAAAACATTTTGAGTGAAGCAACTTTTAGTTAGTTTCAAGAAAATGCATGAACAGGAATTTGTTAATATATCATTGCTTTTTGGCAAAAAAACTGTTGAAGTCAAAACTTGGCTTGATAAACATTATTCGGACTTTGCACCAGGAAAATTAACCGTTGAGTACTGGTTTGCTAAGTTTAAACGAGGTGAAATGAGCCCCGAGGACGATGCATGCAGTGGACGACCCAACGAGGCTGTTACCGACGAAAACACAAAAAAAGTCTACAAAATAATTTTCAATGACCGAAAAGTGAAGTTGATCGAGGTAACTGAGGCTCTAAAGATATCAAAGGAACGTGTCGGATATATCCTGCATGAATATTTGTGTATGCGAAAGCTCTGTTCAAAGTGGGTGCTGCGCGTGCTCACAATCGACCAAAAACAACAACGAATTGATGATTCTGAGCAGTTTTTGAAACTGTTTCATTCCACAGATCCGCCTCAGCAACTTTTTTCAGTTTTCAGACAGACAAATCGTGCTACGAAAAATTGTATAACCGCTATAATCGTTGTATCGCTCTCGAACGAAACTATATTGAATAATAAAATCAGATTTTATATATTTTTTATGTAATGCAGCACATTCGTTATATATCTATTCACATCTGCATCATAATTACATAAAAACACTTTTATATGCAACTGTTAAGCATCTCTTACAATGCCGAAAATATACAGTAAGACAAACGTGCCAGAAAAAGAAATTTTTGCAAAAATTTTCATGAATGGACCGACGCTGTTCGATAATTATATTTCAAATGAATTCAAGTGTCGTAAATGATTTTTTTTACCTAAAAGTGATATGAAACATCCGTCAAATAGTCCCATACCCAAAACGATGACTATCAACCATCCATATTTTCCTGCAGAGAACGGAAGAAGAATCGTCAGCAGTCCTATACTGAAAAAGCTGAGCTGCTGCAAGTAGATCCTGTTCACTTTTGGTAAGTCAGCTATGTAACCAAAAATCAGTCTCCCTAAACCTGAAAAAAAAATGATAGTGATGAAATCTGTGAACTATATAGTTCATGAGAAATTCAGAAATTGTTTCTGAATTTGCAGTACTGCGAATATATCTATACTATCTATTATAAATGTGAAATTTTGTGAGGATGGATGAATGTGTATATTTGTGGCTCTTTCATGCCTCAACGACTGAACGGATTTACATAAATACAGCTTATACACCAGAATAACATATAGGCTACAATTTACAAAGGTTTTATGTAATTTTGGTCATAATATAACGATAAGTATTAAGTTAGTCGGAAAAATTCTTGCTCCCTGAGAGCTATCTTGGCATTCGCTGCCGAGTTACCTACATGAAGATAATGTATCGTGAAATTGTTTATCATAAATGTAAAGAGAAATGAAAATTTCTACCACTTTTATTTGTAACTAACGTTACTGCAGTTTCGTCCTACACGGACATTTTCAAACTTATACAATAAACTTTGTTTATTTTCAAACTTATATTGTATATTTTCAAACTTATATTGTATATTTTCAAACTTATACAATAAACTTTGTTTATTGTATAAAATGTCCGTATAGGACGAAACTGCAGTACCGTTAGTTACAAATAAAAGTGGTGAAAAACATAGAAATTTTCATTTCTCTTTTCATTATGATTTCCTACCTCGTAGTAACGGCTACATCCATCAATTTATTTATCATAAATAGTTCTAAATAAAAGTTCGTGAAATTATATATCTACCTCTTATGAGGTAGCCACTATATGCAAAATACTGAGCCATCAGTACAATTGAATTGAGTACTTTTTTCACAATGCACATTTTAGAATACCTGTCAAATTCTTATAAAAATTGGTACAATTGTCGTTTTAAGTATTTAATATAGATGAACTTTGTTTTTTACACTAAGTAATTTGGACAAATCGTTTAAAAGTTATTACGATAAGATTACTTAACGCAACACACTAAGCAATTACGCGTCGCGTATACTGTAAGACGACGAAGGACGATGCGCGGAGGTAGACGGGCGGTCTAGCAATGAAGCGCCATCGCCGAGAACGCGGGCAGACGCATGAGGGTAGACGTCGTTGACGGTTGTGTTATTGCGAAATTTCTTTATAGGTAACATAATTCGATTTTTTAAATTAAAAATATAAATTACTAGCTGTTGCCTGCAGCTTCGCCCGCATAGAATTTGGTTTGTCACGACATTTTAAACAAATAGTTACAATATTCTTTTATTAACCCAAAACTTCAGGTTTCCTACTTCAAAAGTGACAAAATTCAATAGAATCTTTGAACCCCTATTTTCCCCCCTTTGCGGCGGAAATTCTTGATTATTTTTCTTGATGTTTATTTACGCTATACAAAGAACCTACCTGTATATTTCAAGATTCTAGGTTCAGCCTATTGGTCTGTTTAGTGATTACTTTAATAGGTGTATGAATGTGTAAAAATGGTTTACATTTTTCAAGACAGAATTGAAATGATTGTAATTTCTGGAGAAGTATGAGTGATCATTTTTTCTGAATGGCAATGTTAATAGACAATAATGTTGCTATTGGAATGATGAAAACCCACATATTTTTCGGGAAGGGCATACACAACGCCCACAAAAAGTTAATGTTTGGGCTGGTATTCTTGGAAATGCCATTATTTGTCCATTATTTCTGAAAGAAAAGGCAATCTGTACCTTGAAATGCTTGAAGAGACTATCGATCCTCTTATAACTCACGGGCTAGAAACTCAAATAGATGCAGAAGGTAAGTTCAGGAGGATCTGTTACATTTCAAGTAGAACGGTGCTTCTCCTTATTATTTTCTTCCTGTCCGACAGTGGTTAAACGAGAAATTTCCGGATAGATCGATTGGCAGAAGGGGAGCAGTTGAATGGCTTCCGACATCACCGGATTTAACAACCTAAGATTTCTTTCTTTGGGGGCATCTTAAATCCGTTGTTTATAAAACACAACCTTCTGATATGGAAGAACTTAAAAGATGAATTACAGCAGCACTCCAGTCAATTCCTAGTGAAGCTTTCCGTAATGTTAGAGGGGAGTTCGAAGACAGACTTCATTACTGTTTAGAGCAAAATGGACGACATTTCGAACAGTTTATAAGATAAGCATAAGTAGATTTTGTTTGAAATGTCTTTCTCGCAAATTGAATTTTATTTTGTAAAAGAACAATAACCAACAAATAAAAAAATCCATTCCTATCATTCAAGGGTTGAAACGGTGCCACCCACTCTTCTAACTATTTTTATCAAAAGGAGTTAATACAATAAATAATGCATCTCAGAATAGGCAAATTCTAATTACATGTGTAGGGGAGATCCTTGTACCTTGGGACACTTTTCTTCGAACCTTCATAATTTGAGCCAGAACTGACTTTAAGCATTGATTTTTTTAATACCGTATAATAATATGATGATCAAAATATTATAATGCTAGGAAAATACACACGATGATTTATTTGTGAGAAAATAAAAAAAACTGATTGGGTTTCATGTCCCAAAGTACAAAGTAAGTGAGTAAGGCTTTGGGACACCGATATTTGTACCTTGGGACAAATATCTTTAGGATTTGTATTGAAATTTAAAAAACATAATACATTGTAATAAGCCGTAAAAATATAACCCATATATGTTTATTTGTCAGATAAAAAAAGTGACAACTGAAAAATCAACTCTTAGAGAGCCTAAGTAGGTAACAAAAAGCCTAGTTTTTTTAATAGCATTTATTTATAATCACTTTCTCTTAAAAATTAGTAAGAATAAAGATTTCACATATACCTAATTTAGTTTAAGAACTTAACAGTTATGCTTTGGAACTTTGGTTATTACCACTAATTGACAATTAATTTACGAACTAAGGCAGATCGAGGCAAGACAATAGAATATATCCTGTTTTTTGGACTTTGGACCACATTTTTGATAATAATCATCAAAACTGGTGCAATCTTCGTGCACCCAAAAGCAACAAGTAACACATTGAATCCAGTCTTCTTTACGTGAGGTAACAAAATAATTTTCTCCACATTCGACACAATTATTTTCCTCTTGATAATCATCACATGGATCGTCGTCACTTTCTAAAAGCACATTAGTGTCTTCCTCTGAACTAGAATATTCAATTTTTTCTTGAAATCTTTTTTTTTACAGTCTTCATATTTTTTGTAATGCATTTTTCCTTTTCTTTGCAGCCAAATGCTCCAATTCCAGTTTTTCAGGAGACTCGGTTAAGACTCTCACGTTTTCGTCATAGCTACTGCATACTGATACGCTAGTTTCAAGAATTGCTCTTTAGGTATGCCATAATGAAATTAAAATGCTGTAAACAATACTCGACTAATTGCTCTTTCTTTTCATCATTGAAGACTCTCTTCACAGCATTATTTGGTTTATAAATGACAGTTGTAGTTTCGTTTTCTTTATTCAGCTTTACATAACGACCTATTAAAGATTTTGAAACCTTAAACTCTTCGGCAGCTTTTCGGATAGAACATCGTTTTTCAATCACCTTTTTAACGACAATTTTTACATTTTCTGCAATTGGTTGGGGTCTAGTAACGTTATTTTTACTACGAGTCAGTAAAAAGAATAATTGTAAGTAAACTATACAATAATTATAAGTAGGCTATAGAAAATATGAAATGCTTGTACCTAGGGACAGTCCCAAAGTAAAAAAATATCACTGTCCCAAGGTAAGAATTACGTTTGTTTTGCAAAAAAGTGTGGTTACGTTTTCTCAATCGGAAATCCAGTATTTAACTGCAAAATAAGTAATTACAAATGTAGTTGTCACCTAATTATACTCATATCAGATTACTTACTTTAAAAATTTTCAGGAAACACAATTATTACACATATGAAAAAAAAAAAAACGCACGCGAAAAGTTTGAGAAAGCATCGCAATGATGTCACGAGTCAAAATGGCCGACTTTGTGGAGTGCAATCGAATTGTTGTTTTAAATCTAGCTGTAGATGTCGCTTGAGGCAATTCGCGGGTTGAATTTTGTAATGATTATGAAGTTGTCCCGAGGTACATGTGTTCCAAGGTACAATGATTTCCTTTAAGTTTAGAACGCTATTTTTCGGAAACTGCTCATCAAAAAATAAATCGTCAGGGTATCATTAGAAGCAGAATTGAACGCAATTCAGAATGCTGTGCCACGTGACACCCCTTCCCATTTGAGATTCTGAGGGTAACATCTACCTCTCCTCGGGGGTCGAACCACGAGGGCTACAAATATTCCTTGAAAGTGTCCCCTTTTACTATACGATTTCCGTATTTTTTCGATTCCTCATATTATATACGGGAAGGAAGATATTGGGTGGGAAGTTTTAAAATTGACACCCTGTATATCAATAAAACCGTGCTATTCAATAGATAATACACCGTTTGTAGGGTTGCATGTCTTTGAAGAAAATCATTTCAAAAAGTTTAGCAAAATTACATAACACATAAATAAGCCCATAGCTTTTTATTTACGCCGAGTCTCCTTTTTTGAGTATTTAGAACACCTTTGCAAGTTTCCATGTATCTATAAATTAAATCTTGAGGTTTTTGGATAACTCCATTTGTAATGTTATTGAAACTGATGGTGGGCCAATTGGCATATCTTTAAGGTAAACCCTCAGCTAAATCGGTATTAGGCAAAGTATATACAGTAGAGAAATACTTTCCAAGAGCATTAACAATATTTCCTACTGTTCAAAGTGGCATATTTTTTTACCGGTAAATGCTATCGATTTTAAATTTTGGCTAAATTGTACTTCATGGGATACTCGCAGATTTTCGCGATTTTTTCTGGGATGATACTACATGATTGTAGAAATGCAAACACTTTTTATTTTTTGTCAGCTGTCAACTCAGAACTGTAGAACCGTTAATGCCAATGTCAATACGAAGACGGATAGAAATGTATTATTTTGACCTCTCCCTGTGTAAAATATTTTGACGAAAACAGGGTAGTCTTGATCCTTCACAAAATAAAAGGATCGGCATTCCATTCACAGAGGCGCCAAGCACACATCAATCTTTATATTGGGAAATTATTCTTGTTCTATCTATTGACATTTGTAAAAAGTTGGCTCAATCTCGTTTCTTGCGTGTCGAGAGATTTTGACAAAACAACAGCGAATCAGTTTAAATACCAAGGTTTCTATGCATCTTTGTCAATACACACTTGCATCTTTAAAGATGACCAGTTGATCAAGAAAATGGATTTTTGAGTCGCTTTACCAATGAAATTTATCGGTAATTGGGCTGAAAATTGAACATTATGGAAGTATCCTTTTCAAATCTACTTTCTAGCAACCCATATTTCCAAAAATGAAGAAATCATCAAGTGTGTTCAATTAAGGTGAATTTATGCCCACTCGATTAGCAAGTAGCAAATAACAAGTTTCAAATATCAATTAGCAAGAAGCAAGTAACAAAAACGATGGCATTTATGAATTACCAATTGAAAAGTCACAATAAAATAGTAGTATTAGTAGTATTAATGTGAATTTTTCAACACAGTATATCAATTCAATTTCAGTGATCATAGAAACAAATGATTCACGAAATCATGAAAATTTCAGAGATTATTAAAACACATGTTCCAAAGAAAGGTAAATGCATTTTTTGAAATCGTTGGAGATTAACAGACGCCCACCTAGAAGACACACTTGAATTTGTTGTTCCTATCGAGAACCAAACGTCGGTGTAGTTTCTCACATTAATTTTAGGTCTTGTGTTTTATAAGTCAAAATTTGATTTGAAACCAAAATAATACATAGCTAGCACCCAATTATTATCAGTTGTCTTTTCTGGACCTCGTTCAAATTTTCCCACAGTATCCGGACCCCACCCAAAACTACTTGCCGACCCCTAATATAAACCTTTCAATTTAAAGAAACGAACGATTTAAGAAACGATGAAACCAAACGTTATTCCTCATTTCTACTGTTTATGTTCTGAAATGGGCCAAAAGTTGGCCAATTTCCCGTCACTTTTTAGGCGATAATTGTGATTTTTTCCATTGGAAAGTGAGGAGTTCAACTTACAATTGATAATTGTCACTTGCTAATTGTTACTTGCTAATGGATTGTGCGGTATTTCTGCATTACCAACATTAATAGGGAACAAAGGAAAAAAATATTCAATAGGTTGGTGCCATTCTTCGAAACCTCATTTACTCACGGATTCGAGAACTTATGACCAACAATCAAGATGAAGTTGAAAATCCAGTTATTTTCACACATTTTTTTAGGTCTGTAAGGAATTGTTGGATCAGACATACTCAGGCATGTGTATTGGTAGGCGCGGTATATTGGAATGGTCTGTTAGTTCAGCGGATTTGAACCCTTTCACAGTGGCGGATTTACCAGCAGGCTGAGTAGGCTTGAGCCTAGGACGGCGGATTTTTACAGAAATAAAAAATAAATAAATACCTAAATATCATTTAATTTCACCACTTAACTGAACCTTATACTTCGTCGGAAATGGTCGCGGTGGTAGTGCGCCCGACTCACGATCGGAAGACCGTGGGATCGATTCCTGCTTCGACCAGATATTTTTTTCGAGAGATTTTATCTGGTTGAAGCTGGGATGATTCTGCAACCGTGTTAGGAATCACACGTTAAAATTCAGTTCTTAATTTTTCATAAGATATGAATTTTTTTAAAAACAAAATCATTTTTTAGTCTTTTCATTTTAAAATATTTTCGTCCACCGTCTTTTGTCCGTGTAGGGTATCGAAATGCAGAGGTCAGAAGGGGGCGGCAAAATTTGAATAGCCTACTGGCGGCAAATATGTTAATCCGCCACTGCCCTTTTGATTTTTTCGTTTGGGGCTATATTAAATCGGAAGTTTATGCTACGCAACCTGGGACAATTTGGAAACAAAATGTTACAAATGAGTCCGAAAATAGATGTTTAAATGTTTTACTGTCAGAAGGTTCAAGAACATTTCGAACATTTTCTTTTATGTATGAGATAAATTATAATTGTTATCGTGTTATGCTCTTGAAATTAACACTTATCTATTGCAAAATATGTTAATAATTTATTTCAACATTCATTTCAAAAACTCTGACATAAGGTGGCAGAATTACGAAATTCCTAGTCCCAAATTTAAACATCAATAACTCCGCAACCGGTTATCGAAATTAAAAAATCGAAGATCATTGTATAGAGAACTGAAATGTCACAAGACTCCCTTTCTATTTGCCGAAGTCGAAAACCCACCGAAAAAGATTGTTTCTGTATGGTTATCAGCGACTGGTGTGATTCACTATAACTTCCTGCAACAGAGTCAAACCATCCTGCTCCACGACAACGCCCGTCCACACGTTCCAGAAATGACCGTCCGAAAATTCAACGAATTGAGCGTCAAAGTTCTGCTCCATCCACCATACTTCCAGACCTCACGCCACCCGACTACCATCTTTTCTAGCACTTCAATAACTTCTTCAATGGTAGAACCTTCGCCAATCAGAACTAGGCGAAACCGGAATTCGTCGACTTCAGATTACCAGTACTGGTACGAGTAGTTGACGGTAGAACAAAAATGTGAGGTGCATTTTCGGACAATTGGGGCGTCTAATGTGTCTTTCTCATATTTCTTTAACAGAGGCGGTTTCAAAGAAAAAAGTTCTGAAATCGAGACTGCTTTTCGAAAAGTGATTATTTTTTCAAGGATTAAACAATGTAAAAAACAAATTTACAATTGCAAAAAATATCTGACTAATTTTTTTTCGGAAGGGCTCTAGCCGGTTAACAGTAGTGAATTTCTCTCAAACGAGTTAAATGTTTTGAGTAGTACTACTGGAATTGTCAGAAAAGTAATTATAACATTCATAATGATAATAATTTTAAGAATTTCTGTAGACTCCCGTAGCATCCTCTCTTGAAAGGGTATATTTTTAGAAGAGATCAATTTTTGGGAAGAAAGGTTTTGGTTTTTTACTTCTCTATCTTGATACAAAAAAATTTGAAATCTTCAAAAGAAAGACAGGAAGCAATCAATTTGAAAAATCAACTCTATACAAAGATGTGTAGATCATGCAAATAAGTAATTTTCAGACACAAAGAGGGAGAGAAAATCATCTCGAAACAGCTTTTTTCATATAAACATTGAATTTACACGGCAGAAAAATGCTTTCAAAACAAATGCTTTTATATGAACGCTGAATTATATGAAAAACACTCTTCTCTATTCTGTTTGTATCCCAAACATTCCTAATGGAACCGAACCAGATATCATTCACAGGATTCCTAGACAATATAATTATTGAATAGAGAAAAGTGTTTTTCGTATAATTCAGCGTTCATATAAAAGTATTTGTTTGGAAAGTATTTTTCTTTCATGTAATTCAATATTTGTATGAAAAGATCTGTTTCGAGATGTGTCTGAAAATTACTTCTTTGCATAATCTACACATGTTTGTAAAAAGTTAATTTTTGAAATTTATTGCTTCCTTTCTTTGGAAGATTCCCACATTTTTTGTATCAAGATGGAGAAGTAGAAAGCCAAAACCTTTCTTTCCCAAAAACCTTCTTTCTACGAATATAAATAAAGGTTTTTCGTGGTTTGCCTTAACACAACCTAACCTAAACACAATATAATCAATTGGAAAATATATTTGCTGTAATTCAGTGAGAAATACAAAAAATACCTTGATCCTTAAAGAACTGATTTTTTTAACACACTGAATTCAACAAAATTATGTTAAATACATACCTGATGTTACACCTATGCACAGGATGGGCAACTTGGTATCTGAACCTTTGTCGAAGTTTGCCGACACAAATTTCAACATATACACATATGGCACGAAGTATCCGAATAAGGAACAGGCAATGCCCATGGCCCAGAAGACATACCTTCTGTTCTTGGTTAAGGATGTGTTGAATACGTCCTTTACTGATATCTTTTTACTCGTCACATTTTTGTTTGTTGGTTTGAATAAGAAGGCGCATACCATGATTAGGCTTGAGACGAGGGCTAGGGTTCGCAGGGTCCAAACTACCTAGAACAAAAAATGTGTACACTAAAGAGCATCGTTTGTTTTGCTTTCTCAATATAATGTCATGACTATTCATCTTCAAAATTTGAATTTTTAGTTTCTTGCATTATAACCGAAAAGTTAGAGTACTTGTTTGATTATGATGCTAATATTGCCGAGTACAGAAAATTACTTTTTTTAAAACAACCATTAACTTGAGTATTTGAGAGTAAATTACAGTCTTCATGTCGCACATATACTGTTAACTCGATCTTATAAAACTCGTCAATATATGATCCTCATTGAGGAGGTTCTTTCATCCCCGTTAGTCCATCATATAAATATGTAAGACCTCTGCCACATATTCTAATGTACTGAACCACAGCCACCTCCAGTCAAAATCGTAGTGAAAGAGGAGCGGCAACATTGTCCAGGAGCCTCTTTTTGAAATGTCAGATTGAAATCAATGAGAAATTTGATAATTTTTCTGTGGTTTCGCTCCTTTGTTATTGATATAATAAAATCGTTTCAATTTTCATGATCTCTTGAGCTTTAGCAAATTTTCATGGTCATGAATGTTATTGACGAAGAACAGGAAAAAGGCTTTGACATTTTGTGTATTATAACGATAATCGCAGAATCAACCAAGGTTTGTTTAGAAAACTGAAAAAATTTTAACAAGTTGCAGAATTTATTAGAAAATTGAAAATTCATTTTTTATGACTTTGTTCATGTCTTCAAAAATATACGAAACTATAGTCCGTTCATAATTTGTTGATAGCTCACTGCAAGTTTGACCCTCATTAGAGAACTGAAATACAGAGAGGACAGCTAATATGATATAATAACAAAAACCAAACTAAAACTGGCAGTTTAAGATGTTTTCGACTAACCCACCTTGTATCTGAAGAAATACAATACAGCTATAAAACTTTTCAAGGTGGTCATCATCCTTTCCTTGATGTAATGTTAGAAAAGTCCTCAGAATAATTTTGATACAAATGTTTATCGGATGAAAAAACAACCTCCACTACACATAAAACTATCATGCGAGCGTTAAAAACGTTATAATGAAGTGTCTCTATAAGACCAAAGATTGATAAATTATGAATTGAAAATTGACACAAAACAACAAATACGCTGAGATCTAATCTATACTCACACATACAAAACCCAACAACACAGAAGAACAAGAAATAGATTTCAAACAATACCTTGCTCTTGTGGTAAGACTTAAAGGCCATTTAAAGTCGCCAAAGAAACATACCATTTGTGAACATGTTAGACTGTACAGTAGCTCAAACTATGATAGGTTATATCAGAATTCTATCGGAACTGACTGGGAGAGCACTCTGACCAAAGATGATCCTCTCTTATCATTTCACAGGGTGTTACTGGACGTGTATGATAAGTCTTTTCCTGAACAGAAAATCAAATCGAAGCGTTAAAAGCCGTGGATGACGAAAAGACTGAAAAAGTCAGAATTGGAGAATCAACTAACAACATTAAAGAGATCTGGTCCATAATGAATGACATCAGAAGAAAATCAAAGAAAACAAAGGATGATATCCAGCTAAATCCTAACAAAGTCAACGAATTCTATTGGACCATTGCCTAAAAACTAAGCAGCACTATTCGCGTGTCTTTTGATCTTTTAATCAATCTAGAAAATATTAATATTGATGATAGCCTTATTTTGTATAACACAGATATTCATTAACTGATTCAAATCTTGAACGATATCAGAAATAAAAATGCCGCTGGTTATGATGAGATTTCGGTAAAAACAATTTTTAATCTACCACGCAATGCATTGGAAACTTTAGTTAATCTCATTAATACTTCCTTCGAAAGTGGGGCTCATTCCCTCCTTCCTTTAAGACTTCAATTGTTATTCCCCTACATAAAGGTGGTGCGTTGAATAATCCCTCCAATCTGCGGCCTATTTCTCTTATTCGAACCGTGGCGAAAATTATTGAAAAATTATTGAAGAAAAGATTAAATGATTTCCTAAATTTGCCTAATATCATGAGTAACAACCAATTTGGGTTCCAGACAGAAAAAGACACAAGTGATGCAATATTTTCTTTCCTTTATAAAAATTATTCGGAAACACATGCTGGTGAAGTGGCCGCCGCAGTTTTCTGTGACCTATCGAAGGCTTTCTTTTGCGTTAATCATTAATCATTACTCGAAAAACTTCACCGCAGAGGGGTGACATACAATTGGTTTGAATCGTACCTCTCATGCCGAAGTCAAATGGAAAGAACATCGGAACTCTCAGAAAGCAGGACAATTACATCTGGTGTGCCACAGGGTTCTGTGTAAGGTCCAGTTCTGTTTTTTTTTTATGTATTAATGATTTGACTATAATAGATATATCTGGCAGCTTTACTCTCTTCACGGATGATACAACCATATTGTGGAAACAAAAAAACTCAGCAGAACTACATAAAAGGATATCACTTGATTTAGAAATGGTGAAAAATTGGTGTGATTCTAATTTATTATCCTTGAATATATCGAAAACAAATATAATCACATTTAAATGCCTACTGAATGAATTCTTAATAGACAATGATATCTTGTAAAACAAATTGAACACAAAATGTCTTGGTGTATTTATTGATAATAGACTTAAATTTGATGAACACGTCAGACAACTTAAGTGTAAAATATTTTCCAGATGTTATGCAGTGACGGTGGTATCTAACGATTTGGGTTTTCAGACAGCAAAAACGGTTTGCAACGTTTTAATTGAATCCCAAACAAGATATGGAATACAATTTTGGGGAGCATGCAGTGCGACCATTCTATCTTCTGTGTTATTATTACAGAAAAGAGCAGTAAGGTGTTTCTGTGAAGTCAACCCTAGGAAATTATTGCAGAAATTATTTTGCGGCCAAAAAGATTTTAACTGTCATTGCACTGTTTATTCTTGTTTGGTGTATAAACATAAAACCGAGTTTGACTTTGTTTCTTCTCCTTATGCTAGTCGCAACAGCATATTTAATATCATACTTCCCATACCTAACTCAACATTATTCGAGGATTCCATTTTTCATAATGTTGGAAAATTATTCAATCACGTACCAGTAGATAAGGTTTGCAAATATGACCAAAATTAAAGAAACCAGTTAGAAATTTGCTAGCTGATAGACCCTATTATAGCCTACAAGAGTATTTCAATGAATTATTAAAAAAAACATGTATTCCATTTAATTTTAATTGTATTTGTACTTGTTTTATTCAAACTTTTGTAAATTACCAGTTTTTATCCATACACCATTAGTTATCTTTACATTTCTACTTACAAATCTTTGTCAATGGGATGCAAAATCTGACAATGAATTATATTTTGATTTGATTTGATTTGGATTACCTGTTTTGAATAAAGATAGCGGCGAAATTGCAACAGAATAATATCAGAGAACACCTTGTACTGCAGGAGTCAATCAACTACATTGGCATATTTCACACCTCAAAGTTTGACATTTATCGAGGATGTTTTGAAAATAAAACGAGCCGAACAAAGAAACGGAAAGATTCATTAGATTTTTCCATTTCTGAAGACGGATGCAGATTTTAGACTCCGAAACGCTAAGATAAGTATCTGTTCAATTTATTAGCACCTTTTTCGATGAGAAAAATTATTAAACAAAAATTAATCTAGAATGCTTAATTGTTACAGATTCACTGAGTGCTCCCAAAACAATGACACATCAGTATACCAATCATCCCATCTTGCTTCTTTTAAAACAGTACCTCCATATACTACATCAAAAACATTTTTTCATCCAGTTTATATGGGTCCCTTCACACATTGGCATAGTTGGAAATGAAAAAGCTGACCAATTAGCAACAAATGCTATCACTAACCCGCTAACAGTGTCACTTGTCATTCATACGGACCTGAAATCTCTTCAGAAGCAAACGGTCATCAATAGTTGGCACTCCTAATGAAATAATTCGTCATCAAAACTACACAGTATTTCAGTCAGTGTTTCCTTGGAAGAACAACCCTAACGAAAGAAAAGTCCAGGTCATTATACCTCATCTTCGTCTAGACCAAACTCGTCTCACCCATGAGTATCTATACTGGTGAAGAACCCGCAGTATGTGGAGTGTGTGGAAAACACATTCTAATCGTGAAAAGTGAGATATAAAACTTTTTACTTTTTTACCACTTTTATTCGTATCTAATGATACTGCAGTTTTGTCCTATAAGAACATTTTCAATAAACTGAAAATTAATCATAATGTTAGTCCATATACAGTGCATTTCTTTAATGCCCCACCCTTTTATTTTTTGAACGGGTCAATTAAAAAAATTGAAATTTGGGATAATGAAATTAATGCATGAATACTTTACTTTCAAGTGAAATTGACAGATGAAACTTTCAAGATGGCGACTGGGCGAAAAAAAATTAAATAGAAAAGGGGGTCTTATGATACATATTTTTGAAGCTCCTGACAAATGCTTCACAATGACATTCAAATACATAATATGAGGTAATAAGCTTGAGGTCAGTTCAGAAGATGCTGACATATGAACAGCGTATCCGATATTTTACGCCGAAGATTTTCGAACACAGTAACGTCAATATCTCTACTAATATTTATTATTCTCTGCCGTATATCTAATATTGAAGCAGGCTCAGTTTCGTACACCTATTGTTTCAAATATCCCCATAAAAAAAAGTCGAAAGGTGTCAAAACTAGCGAGCGGGCTGGCCATTCAGCAGGACCTCGACGGCCAATCCAACGACCGGAAAAAGTAGTATCCAAATAGTTTCTTACTTGTCTGGAGTAATGTGGTGGTGCTCCATCTTGTTGGAATATAATATCCATATCGAATTCACTAGGATTCGCTTCGACGATTTCAGTGATGAGAGGGTCAACAGTAGTTTTCAGCATATTCAAATACAGTTCCCCTGTTAAATTTTGATCAATAAATAGAGGTCCTACAATATGATTTCCCAATATTCCTGCCCAAACGTTATTTTTTTCTGGATATCGTTTTT